GGTGGTGGTGGTGGTGGTGGTGGTGGTGGTGGTGGTGGTGGTGGTGGTGGTGGTACAGATCTAATCAGAAAAAACTAAACGAAGAGGCAACGTCAACCTACCCCCCGACCTACGATGAAGCGTCCCACTCACATAGAGCAAATGAGACGTGTTTCTAAGCAGTACCATGGCATGATCATCTCATAATCAGAGTCACAACCAGAATATTTGCTCGATGACATGGAGGATCATGAAGATCAAGGTATAACATCTCCTCTTTCCTAGCCAAATACACCCAGGACTAACCCCCAAGGATTGGGAGTTGACCTTATCAGTTCCCGAGTAGAAGCCGCAACATTAAGTCCAATTGCTCACTCCCACACCCAAACCAACCACTCTTCTGCCTCTCAACAAGCAGTAGTTTTGACACATAATGGGGAAGCCTAGCTCACATACCTCACTGCCCCTTTTCGGAGCAGCCGACCATATTATCAGTGGTACACAGCCACATATTGTCGCCCTTAATTCAAACACATCGAGTCTAGATCCTACAACCCATATATTTTGGGAAAATTCCCTAAATAGAAGTAAACACGCTTTGAAATTCGGAAATAGGATTGTCGTGTTTTTATCCCTAAATCAGAGTAATTTCTGTCAAGTTTGGCATTACCAAGCTTTAAACATGGCAGTTTTTTCAAACTTGGCAGAAATTACTCCTATATAAGGAATAAAAACATGAGGGGGCCTATTTTAGAATTTCAAAACATTTTTGCTCCTATTCAGGGCAATTTCTAATATATTTTCTCCATTTTCTGGGACACAGACACCGCAAACACTTTCTACTACAGGTGCACTCCACATGACTGCAACGACCAGAGACACGTCGATGATGGTTGGAAGTCCTACCACTCTACCTCTTTTCACACCATTATTTTCAAGCCACACATCGGCAATACTCACCGATGATGTGGGAACGGAAAGCGTACCAGCTTCCTAAAGTAACCTCTCCACCCAATTCGTCACTAAGGAGTTCTTGCAGCGCTGTCTGGAGTCCTCCTTACAGTCCTTTGAAACCTCATTCTTCTCAAGGGTACAGTTTGCAATAGCCGCAGTTATACAAGGCTCCAGACACACCCAAGCATTGCAAACAGATCCCAATCCATCACATCATACCTCCCCACAGCCTCTCTACCTCACTCCGTTCATTCCTCTCACCACTCTCAACAGGGATCTTAGGACACTGAGATATTGTCCTCCCCAACCTCGGCTACAACCCTCATAAATCCCCCACATTGTTCCAATCTCCACCTTAATCGATCTCCTCTTGGTCAGACTTCTAACGGAATCCGAACTTAACCCCGACCAAATAGCCCTTCTCCGACCCCTTGAAACCCAAGCCACCTGCCATGATAGCTTTCGCGCCACGAAACATCCGATGAGGAGAAGGAGGAGGCAACGCCGATTCATCCCAACCACCCCAAAAACATAAGACTTTCAAACTCAAAACTCTTCTTTTTGTAGATCATTTTACTATGGTTTAGAATTCGAGGAACAACAAGTGAGATGCAACTTGCAATCATTGTGAATAAGTATTGTGCATGGGGGTGTCAAGGGGCTACAACAAAGTCCAAAGGCACTTGAACGCGAGGCACCCCACAGAGGCGGTGAAAATGAAGAGCAAGGGCACACAAACACAAATACTGAGCTTTGCAAATGATTGACCCTTGGGTGAGTTTGTTTATAATGATGAACAACATTTCAAAGTTATGTCTGAATTAATATGTGAAAAAAAATGCCTTTTATTTTTTCTAAAAATCTTGCTTTATGTGCTTATGCTCAAGGTTCTTTAAATCCACGATTTCGAAACTATAGCCGCAAGACAATTAAAAAACAAGTTATTAAACAATATACTTTGGAAAAGGAAAAATTGATATTTTTTTGCAAATTTTGAAGGGCGTGTGACTGCTTGTAGTGATATATGGGAAGATACATATCATCACTTGTATTGTTTGGGTGTGAAGTACATTGGATTGATGATAATTGGCAAAGGATAACGAGTTATCGCTTTTCGAGATTTTAATGAAAGACACACCGGTGTTAATATTTATATTGTCATGGAACGTATTTTAATTGAATATAATTTGCTTGATAAGGTGTTTGTTATAGGTTTTGATAATGCTACTAAGAATACCATCGTTGTACCTAGATTGTGTGAATTATGTGGTTCTTCTACTTTGATGGGTAGATTTTTTTTGTCAACGTTGTGCATGTCATGGTATACATTAATGTGTGAAAGAAGGCTTAGCCACATTAGGAAATGTGATGGAGAAAGTTAAGGGGGGTAATAGACTAATTTGGAGTAGTACACAACTTAAACTGCAATGGCTAGCTTATTTGAAATCTAAACGTGTTAAGTATTGTGTTTTTTCAAAACATATGTGTATTCGTTCATTTCGTTGTAATAGTGGTTATACATTAATTTTTGCGCTTCTTAGAATTAAGGACCATTTCTCTGCTTCTTTAAAAGAAACTCATAACTATATTATAGAACTGATTGTGATACACACCATGGAGAAAATTTGCAACGTGCTAGTTTAATTTTATAACACTTTTCATTCTTTTTCACATGTTTATACACCTAATAGTAATCTATTTTTTTATAAAAGTTGCTAATCTCGCTGGTGCTTTCAAAAGTTGGAGAAAAGTGTCAAATTGTCCCTCCTACGATGTACGGAAAGTCAATTAAGCCCCGGGACTTTTAACTTTCGTGAATTACGCCCTCCTACTATGTAATTTTTGTCAAAATCAATTTTTAGTAGGTATCATATCAATTTCCCGGTCACCGCTTACGTGGACACCCACGTGAAAGTCCACATCACCACTTTTTTCTTTCCTTCTTCTTCTTTCCCCCTCTTGTTCTTCTTCTTGTTACCCTCTTTCATATTTCCTAGGAATCCCATATGTTCCATCCCCCCTCTTCACCTTCATTAATTTTCTACTTCTTCAGTTTTTCTTCCTTTCCCATGTCACTACCTTCCCCCAGCAGGTTCCAGCCAATTTCCAACGAAGAAGCAACCCAGTCCAGCAATGTAAAAATATCAATTTCTTCTTCATTTAACTCCCAATCTTCCCCATGTCATATGAGGTTTGTTCCTATCCCAGGACTTGACAGTACCATATAACAAGGATTTCACTACACGGCAACTAATAGAATGTAATGCGGCAAAGGAGGATGGCAACAATTTGTAATCCCCAACCCAGCGATGACAGTTACAATCCCTGACGGTGGCATCCCCAGCTATGGCAGCTGCAGTCCCTAAGATGGCGGTCATAGTCGCGACGATAGCTGCAATTTCTGAATTTTTCCTCTTGCAACGGAAGAGAAATACAGGAATGGGAATGGCGACTAACTCGAAGAGGGGACGAAAGAAAGAAAAGGAAAGGAAAAAAAAGGGAAAATAAAAAGAAAAGAAAAGGAAAGGAAAAATAAAAAAAAAAGTGTGACGTGGGCCACCACGTCTGTGACATGTCAGGCCACGAATGCGTCCACATCAACGGTAACTGAGAAATTGGAATGCTACATATTAAAAATTGATTTTGACAAAAGTTACGTAGTAGGGTTTAAATGACGAAAGTTAAAGTACGAGAGTTTAATTGACTTTCCATACAGAGGAGGGTTGATTTGACACATTTCCCTTATTTTTTTTTTATTTCATGAAAAGAAAAGTTTTTGAAATATTATGTCTACATTCCACCTATATATGTTAGGGCCTATATGTTATTGCTTTCTATCTTGATCCTTGTTTCAAACTTGCTTCTTATCAAACATTTTTAGAGTACCATTGTCGACACCGCTATAGATCCTCAAACGCAATTCCACAAGGTTAATAATCTACTTCATGTATTTAATGAGTTTCATGCACAACAGGATAGGGTACATTGCACAAAGCTCAAGAACGTTGCGCAGCTCAATTAATGAGATTTCTATATATGTAACACTACATGTTGAGTATGATGAAGGTGAAGAGTTTGACATTGTCTAATGGTGGAAGTGTCACAAGTGCCATCAATGCCAGTTTCAGCAGTTACCGTGGAATAAGAGTTTAGTGAAACCAACAACGTCTTAACTGACTACAAAATGACGTGAAACGCACAATCTCTTGAGATGTTCATTTGTTTCCACAATTGATTTATGTCCCGCCATAGAACTCAAGAAGTTAATATGGCACTAAAGTACTAAACTGCAACTTCATGGAGGAAACGACAACCATCACTTGCATGAATTCCGATAATTAGTTCATGTTAGGGGTGGACTCGGGCCGGGCGGCCTGGACCGGAACCGGCCCGGTTACTGTTTGGCCCGGCCCGGCCCGGGGCCCGGTGGGTCCACCGGTTCGGTTCGGCCCGGCCCGACTGCTGGGCGGTTCGGGCTCGGGCCCAGTTTTTGGTGAACCGGCCCGGCCGGTTCGGGCCAGTTTTTAATTTATTTATTTTTTTGAATTTTTTTTATGTTTTGGGTTGGATTAGGTATTTTGGGCCATTTGAGGTGGTTTGGGGTTGAGGGGGAGGGGTTGGGGTTAAATAGAAGAGCCAAAAAAAAAAATAGAACCGGTTAGGCCCGGCCCGGCCCGGTTTGGCCCGGAACCGGAACCGGAACCGCTCACCGGCGGTTCGGGCTCAGGCCCAACTTTCCTGGCCCGAGGCCCGGCCGGGCCCAGGCCTGAACCGGGCCCGAACCGGCCCGAGTCCACGCCTAGTTCATGTACTTAACGTATAAACTATTTTCAATTGTAACTTATAAATGTCTAATACTACTAGGTGAGTTAGGGTGTTTTCTTTTGGACTGTTTTCAATCCCAGACCAAACCAGACTAGACTTAAACAGATCAGACCAGACTTAAACAGACAAGACCAGACCAGACTTACGTAGTTATAAAATACACAGAGACCAGACGTTTACCAGACCAGACCAGTTCAGACCAAACCAGACTTAAGCAGACCAGACCAGACCAGCAAATTTCAGTCCAAAAGAAAACATCATTACTACTAGTTCATGTAATTGTCTAATACGACAATTCAATTTAGTGCTTCAAATAAATCTACAATTCATTTTTGAATGTGTAGCATTTGTTATTTGTTTTACAAAAAAAATGCACAAACCAACCTGGGGCCGAGACCAGCCAAGTACCTGGGACCAGACCAAAACCGGTAAAACCGGATCGATTCTGGGCTTCAATTCTAGGGGACCATGACTGGCCAGTCCGGGACCGGGACCAAGACCGGACCAGGATAGGGTCCACCCATACCCCTAGTACAATTGCCCACCACATGTGAACTCACCAGTCACCACCCCTAGTGACCCTCGTTGATCTGTCCCTCCACCAACAATCCACCTATCATTGCTTGTGCCACAACCCAACCCCACCTTCCCAACCCCCACACCGCCACAGCCCTAGGTGAACTCTAGCTGCACAGCAGCTGCTACCAAAGTGAAATCCTAATCCTTGCACGACCCTAAAAACTACCAGGGTGAGGTCCCTTTTATAGTTATTACATAATGTATAACTGTATAAGTAGGTAGTAAATATGTCAGCTAATATCGTATATAAATGCAATACACATCACATTACACTTCAAAGGAGGGTGGACAAAAGAGAATAAATCAATGAGGGATAGAAGAGATGGGGTGTTGCAGATGGTAAAAATGTGGAGCAGCCTCTCTCAACCAACATGGATCTATTGATATCACATTTCGCATGTACTGCCGATCTGTGGAAACTAGAGTTTGGTATATTACCCACTTCGGATTCACCCTGCAAAAGTCACACGAAACCCTTATTATTATTATTGTTTTTTAAGCAAATCTTTATAACCTATTATAGTATTTGTTCTGTATTATTATCATTATTATTATTATTATTATTATTATTATTACTCCGTATTAAACACATACATAATGCATGTAAAAAGAATTAAAGAAATCTTTCAAATGTGACCACTTTTTTTTCTTTTTTGCAAGACATTTCAGAGGGATAACGTTACTAAAAAGAAGAAATCATAAAAAAAATCAGGCAAACATTCTTTATCCTCTCACGCTGCTATATCTAGTGGAGTCACAATCAACAAAACTCAGCTTGTCTTTTTCCTCTCATGCTTCTATATCAGCAATGTTATACCCTATGACCCTATTCTTGAACATAACTTACTTTGACCGTCGCCAAGCACTATATCTAGTGGAGTCACAGTGGTTCTCGACGGCATCACTGTAACACTCCCAAGTGGTCACAAGTTCGAAACTCATCCCAGTCAAGGATGTTGGCATTTAACAGAACAGAATGAGACAAGAGAAAGTACAATAAAAAAAAAAGTGAATGTTTTAATTATTCTCCAAGCATGGGTAGGAACAATAAGATATATATTTATCTACCTGAATAAAATAGATGAAGGATGAATATAAACTTCTTGAGAACTCCTTATTGTCTTGTACATGCCATTGTGACTATATGGCTGGAGACACATACATACAATAAAAAAAAACATCATATATCAGATAGAGAAACAAGGAACCCTGTGGAGGAAAAGGGCAACAGCTCTTTAAAGACCCCTAAATGGAAACACGAGATTTATATACTCACTTCCAAACGACACGCATTAGCAAAAAAACCCATTGTAATCGCCTTCCTTAGTACCTGCAAAATGATTTAATATGCTTTATGAAGGTATTGTTTTATTTTTATAACCAACTACGTATAGTTTTAATAAGGCATAATTTTATAACAAACAAAAAAGGTATAGTTTCAATGACGGTCCCCCGGATCATGCATATTTGGTGCATTCATCAGATCAATCAATATACATTTGAAGCAATGTTTTGCTTTCTTTTCAAACTGATGGATGCTTCTCTTCAAAAATGGTGTGATGACAGCATACTTCTAAGCTGTTCCCTAACTTCCATAGCCTTTTTCTTAAATTACCAGCATGTCCCCCTCACAAGATTTCAAGCTCAAGCCCAAGCGCAGTGCAGTCCTTCTAAGCTGCTCCCTAACTTCCATAACCTTTTTCTGCAAATATATATAGCACACAGAAACATAGTGCAAAGAAAAATAAATATTAATGGTTGGGTTCTTATAAAATACGGAGTATCATAACTACTCCATATAAACTGTATAAGAGAAACTGCAAAAAAAAAAAACACAATCCATGAAAATATTATAAGACCAAAATCACTCAAAAATGAAGTTCAAATGCATAAGTTACATACCATGGCATGATAGTTAATAAAATTATTTTGACACCACTTCGATGATTGTTTTGACTGGATGAATCCTTTGTACACATTTAAGAAAGTCACGTGATCACCCTGCATAATATCAACTTTGCAATCATTATGGCATGTTTCAAAAAAAAAACATTGAAGATTTTACTGTTGAAATATAAACTACTCCCTCCGTCCCTGAAAATACTTTCACTTCGCTTTTCGAGAGTCAACTTAAATCACTCTTAAACTCTTACTTTATATATCAAAACTTTATGAAAATGAATTTTTTTTGCAGGCTTTGTAGCGGTTTTAATGTAGTTTCTGAATATGTAAATTTTATCTACTAAAAATAATCTGAGTTTTCACAGGGATCATTTAACTTTATCGTTGGTCAAACTTCGTAACCCGCAATTGGAAGTAAATTCAGGGACAGAGGGAGTAGAATAATAGTGAGAATAATATTGAAGAGAAGAGGAAAGATTTTTTGTGTATTTCATTGAAGGATTAAGTCCCTATAAATATACATTACAAGGATAGAATATTCCTCTAAGATTCTACAATAATAATATCTTAGAGTATATTCCTTCAATATTCTAAAGCTTTTTTAATATATTTCACTCTCCCTCAAGTTGGAGCATAGATATTTATCATGCCCAACTTGTTACATAAGTAATCAACTCGAATCTCATTTAGAGCTTTAGTGAATAAATCTCCAAGTTATTTCAAGTCCTCACACATCCGGTAGAGATCAATCCTTTTTGTATCTTCTCTCGAATAAAATGACAATAAACCTCAATATGTTTTGTTCTCTAATGAAATACGGGATTGTTTGCTATGTGTATAGCAGCTTGGTTATCACACCACAACTTAGCAGGCACTGACTTCAATCTGATTTCATTCAATAAATGGTGTATCCATATTATCTCTTTTTATATTATCTTTTATAATAGCTTATCTTTTTTTATCTTTATTTTCTTTCTTTTCCTTTTGTTGGTGATATCATGTATCGATTCATGTTAGCCGACCCCAATATCTTTTGGGACTAAGGCTTGGATGTTGTTGTTGTTGTATCATGATCCATTGACCAATAGTAGTAATAAGAGACGGGTAGTCAAAACCTACAGTTCTCTCTTGAACCAATATACAAACTACTGGCAGCCCCCTAACATCTTTTCCAAAGATTTTGGCATATGTGAAGAGATCATGATTGTGATCATTAACAAGCATTATATTGAAGTTAGCCTCATCTTCAGTAGCATATCCACCAAACTCCTTAAAGTTCCCAGTAAATTCTTCCCCCAACCCATTTTGAGTATACTTCATGGAAGTAAAGCCATCAATTCTGAAGCTAACAAACATGTTCAGCCATTCCAAAGTAATGTGTGATGATTGAGGGTACACAAAACCATCATAACACCCAATCCCTGTTCATGAATTTTGTGAGACTGATAAGAACAGAAAAATAAAATCAACGGGGTGAACCGTTGCCCAGATAATCAACGATAAATAAATACCGTTGCCCAAAGCCAAAAGGCTAAACCAACTTTTATTCCAAGATGAGCCAGAATGAATCCTAACAAGGGGTTTAAATACCCATCTACTAATAATTAAACTAGGAAACAAAATCCTAGAAATCCTAATCAACTCTAACAGAATAATAAAGATCCTAATCAACTCCAAATAGGAAAGAAAAAATAGAAATCCTAATTAACTCCTAATAGGAAACAAATATTAGAAATCCTAATTAACTCCTAATAGGAAAAAAATCAGGAAAATTAAAAAGAATAAATATTAATTAAACAGCCCGTAACCAGCCCACGGAGGTAGGCTCAAGCCCGTCCCGCCTTCGGTAAACCCACGGGGGCTTCTTCCCCTTTTCTTCCAAGCCCAGATTCTGCTTCATATCAATTCCATCCCTCTTCGAAAAAACCTTGTCCTCAAGGTTGAAATCCGGAAACCGGCTCATATTTGTCCCCGGGGGCTGCCCCGTATCTTGAGGAAAGCTGCCACTTGATCTTTTCAGCTTGTTCATAAAATACCCCAAGTAATAATCATCGGACAGTCCGGGAACCTGACTGGCCAATTGAACAAAAAGGTTATTATATTCCTCTACGGTTCCCAACTGTTTGACCCCGAACAGCCGTTTGAATCGGCTTTCTTTGAACCGTGAATCGAATCGGGCCACCTGTGCTTGTGTAAATTTCTCCCAGGTCATGCTCGGTTTTTGTGCCTTCAACCAGGTCAACCCGTCCAAGGCAGCTCCTTCCATGGCTACCGTAGCTGCTGTCACTTTTCTCTCAGGTAGGGTTTGATTAATTTCGAACTTTTGCTCAACCCTAGCTATCCACCTAATCGGATCTTTTCTGCCGAACATGGGCAGCAACGTTGGAGGAGTGCTGCGCGGAGGTCTGTCGTTGTGTGTTGCCGCTACAATGGCGACACTGATGACTGTGTCTGATGGTGTCTCCTTCATGATCGATGGCACAAGGGCCTTGGTCAGCGCCGCAAGGGATGCGGCGATCTCATCCAGCCGCCTGCCGTTTGCTTCCAGGGTTTGCTTCATCTCTGACAAATGTTCACTGATAGATCTCGTCATTGTGGCGGGACGGGATCCGGCAGGTCGGACCAATTGATAAGAACAGAAAAATAAAATCAACGGGGTGAACCGTTGCCCAGATAATCAACGATAAATAAATACTGTTGCCCAAAGCCAAAAGGCTAAACCAACTTTTATTCCAAGATGAGCCAGAATGAATCCTAACAAGGGGTTTAAATACCCATCTACTAATAATTAAACTAGGAAACAAAATCCTAGAAATCCTAATCAACTCTAACAGAATAATAAAGATCCTAATCAACTCCAAATAGGAAAGAAATAATAGAAATCCTAATTAACTCCTAATAGGAAACAAATATTAGAAATCCTAATTAACTCCTAATAAGAAACAAATCAGGAAAATTAAAAAGAATAAATATTAATTAAACAGCCCGTAACCAGCCCACGGAGGTAGGCTCAAGCTCGTCCCGCCTTCGGTAAACCCACGAGGGCTTCTTCCCCTTTTCTTCCAAGCCCAGATTCTGCTTCATATCAGAGACCTGCTTTCTTTATCCTCTCCTGTGTCCTTGTTGATCCAATCCAAGGTCACATCTGTGTGCTCTGGACGATTACTTTCCTGATAAAGAAGAATGTCAACTTCGCTCTGTTTTGAAGGTGTTGGGACAGCCGGTTTCAACTCAGTTTTCAATTCCAGAGAAATTTGAGCACATTGAGAAGCTATGTACGAATAGGCAAGTGGTTGTGAACTGATGACTTCTGACTGCGACACATTCAGCGAATTGGTGGAAGCCTCTGGAACTGTGAGACACGGATAGCAAATCAGAGGAAACCTGCGAACTCAGCACCGATGCCAGTGAACTGGAAGAGGCGGTTTGCGAGTGCGAACTGGAAGATGTGGTTCGCGAGTGCGCACAAGAAGAGTCGGTTCGCGAGTGCGAACAAGGCGAGGCTGTTTGCGATGAAGTCTGCGAACTGGCAAAATCTGCTCGCTTTGAAGTTTGCAACGAAGACGGAACCTGGTTTTCAGACTTCCTACAGTGTCTGGTTCGCGACCTCCCCTGATTCTCCGGCGATTTTGATTCATCGCCCGTTGGCGCAGCTCGGCCAACATTTCGTCCATGGTGCGCATCTTCTCCGTGACCGATTGTAACTCGGTGGTGTTGCGATCCAATTTCTGCTTGATATTATCCACGCAATGCTCAAGATTAGCCAGAGAAACGAACTGCTTTGATACCATTGTTAGATACCAAGATCAAAAGAGTGAAATTGATGTCTATTAAGAACATAAATGAAGAAACTGAAAGAAAATGATACAAGATGAGCCCGTCTTTCCCAAAATCCCAGTCCAGAAGTCCCAAGTTCTGCCTGCCCTCCTCTACTACCCCAACTCCTATTTAATATTTTCTATTTGGGCTAGCTCAGTGCTATTTAATTCAAGGCCTGAGCCCCTTTTATTGTACAATATTAAAAGGCTGACATTATTCTTATTAGTAGTTCTATCTAGGTCTCTATCATAGACTATACATTCTATGTATATCTCGCAAATTTTGTTTCCTTTTGTATTCTCTGACTTAACTCCATTGTGAGATCATTTTGTTATCATGCATGTCCCAAACTAAGATAAAGGAGGAAGGTGTTGTGGTAGGCACGTGACGGCCAACAGTAACACTTGTCACATCACATCACATGAATCAAAATATGAATATCGCTACAGCTAAGTCGTTGCCCGTAAGTGATATGCCATCGCTCCGTCTGAGGTGGTGTCAAATATGCAAGGCACACTACAACTTCATAGGCCTGCGTGTGGTGATCAAAATGTTAAGGTTGTTATGTCGTACTCACATGCCCGCGGATGGTGTCAAATATGCAAGGGCATGGTGGGGGTTGATGTGATGTGAAGAAGAGAAGGCAGGGTGCTAGATTGTGTTTTGGGACATGGAATGTTGGCTATCTTACGTGAAGATCATCTCAGGTAGTCAAGATCATGAGGAGGAATATTAGTATTATATGCGTGCAATGAACTAAGTGGGTTGGAGAAAAGGCACGTGAGATTAATTCCGGAGGTTTTAAGTTGTGATATCGAGAAGAGAGAAGACCAGAAATGGAGTAGGCATTATTGTGGCGTGTGATTATGTTGAGGGTTTGGTGGAAGTTTTTAGGAAGAATGGTCGCATCATGAGCATTAAATTGGGTAAATTGGTAATAGGAGATGAGATCATGTTTGTGGTAAGTACCATCACTAGTTTTGGGAAGATCTTAAGGAAGTGATGCAACGAGTGCCAAGAGGAGCGAAGCTGGTCATAGGAGGCGACCTCAACGGGCATGTGGGCCCAAGTCGTGATGGTTTTGAGAGTATCCATGTCAGACATGGTTTTGGCATTAGAAATGAAGCGGGGAAGAACATTCTAGATTTTGCCATGACATATGAGTTGGTTGTAATGAACATTTGGTTCAAGAAAAGAGACTCTCGCCTTTGTGACCTATAGAAGTGGAGCTAATAGTACCCAAATTGACTACTCTTTAGTAGAAACGACTTGGAGAACTTGTTAAAGTGATTCTAAGATTATCCCAGAGGAGAGTGCTGTCACTCAGCATAGAATGTTTGTGCTTGATTTTCAAGGTAAGAAAAGAAGGCAAGTTAAAGGTACAAGTGGAACCAAAGATAAAGTGGTGGAGGCTCGAGTGAGATCTCCAACATATGGTGGATTGATAATAACGCATATGTAGATGATGTGTGAGGATGCATGCCACCAAAAAAGGACACTTCTTTATGGAATGATGAGGTGAGATAAGCAAATAAAGACTAAAAGGGAATGCAACAGAAAGTTGGGCAATAGTTGGAGCGATGAGAACATAGAACAGTACAAAGAGGCTAAAAAAGCAAAGAAAGCTGTAAAGAAAGCAAGAGAGAAAGTGAACAAGAAGTTGTATGTAAAATTGGACTGTAAGGAAGAAGAAAAAGATATTTACAAACTTGTTCATCTTTGTGATCGTAGGACTCAAATATCAGAAAAGTTAAGTGTGTGAAGGATGTCGATCAAAGGGTACTAATGGAGGACGGGGAAATAAAAGAGAATTGGAGGTCATACTTTGATACCTTGTTCAACGAGAATAAAGTACAAGGTGTTGATGATCTTACTATATCACCTTGTTCAACGAGAATAATGGATTTTGTGAGAAGGATCCAAATGACAGAAGTTAAAGATGCCCTGATAAAGATGGGGCAGAGCATATGGCACACCAATCGAGGCATGGAGAAGATTGGGAGAGAGAGACATTGAGTGGCTAACACGTTTACTGGACATGATTTAGAGAAACAACAAAATGTCAATGAGTGTTAGAGTCCTCCAAGATTACAGCAATTACAGGAATTATTATCAAGAAACAAACTGAAATTCTTTATCAAAGAAGATGAGCAGTACAGTGACCTAGGCAGAAGCCTCCCAAAAGAGAAGAGATCGTCAGTCTCTAATCTTCCCAGTTCCCAGACCAAAGTCCCAAAAAAGCCCCCTAACTATCCCTCCTTCCTTCTATTTATACTAGACATACATTTTATTATTATTATACTCTATTGGGCCGGGCCCCTAACAACTGGGCCGGGTCCCTAACAAATCTCCCCCCCTAAACATCCACCTTGCCCTCAAGGTGGGAGGTAGGAGACAGCCACGATCTTCTGCTTTTCCTTCTTCCTTGCTCCTCTTCCTTCCCAGTACATTACTGCTTGCTGAGCCAGAAGCTTTGGTATTTGTTCCTTTGAAATCATTGCAATTGCATTTGTTGCCACAGCCTCCCAGCACTCATTAACTGCAATTGTTTCCTTGTTTTCATGAAACTCCTCCAGGATTCTCACTTCTGAAGATATCAATGTACTGGATGCATTTTTTATGTTGCTAAAGTTATTCAACTCATAAACTGCAACAAACCCTATGTGAATTTCTCCGTTTACCATCCACTCTGTAAGACAGTTGGTGTCAGTGATAGAATCATTTGTAGTGGCAGGATTTGTCTTATAAAACTTCAACAGCTCCCATAACTTGTGCACAACAATGCTATCCTGCAATGTCAGATTTCCTAACTGCCAAGGACCCCAGTTTGGCCAGTTATCCTCTTTCCTTTCCCTTATAAGAGAGCCAAAAACTCTTGCAGCCATAGAACAAACTTCAGGTACCACAACAAACTCTTTTTTGTTATAAATCTGGTCTTCAACATTGCTGCCAAGAGCCAACTTATCCGTCCATTTCAATCCAAAACCTGATGCATTCCATGCTAGAAGCTTGGCAATCATATATTTAAAAAGAGAGCATTCTTGACTAATTGAAACACCATTTGAAAAACATATTGACTGTTCAAATGTCTTGATTCTTTGATCACCGGTAGCCTTGTTATTGGGAAGAATTTCATTCAAATGTCCTAGAGAGTGAAAAGACACACCATTTCCCATTCTGCTATGGATAGATTTCTCTTTGAGGTTTGACCCAGTTTTGATATCTGAGTGATTGAAGACTATCCCTTCACTTATACTCATCCCAAGATCAGTCTTTCCCCATTGCTTTGCTAAGGCACCCTGGAGTAACACCACCTTCTCACGTTCTGGACTCAAAAAAATTTCAGAATATTCTAGGTTTCTTTTCACTCCAAATTCATACCTCTGACCATCATAAATTTCTGAATCTTCAGAGTTATCTTGTGGAGATTCCCTTGTTTCAGTCATGTCATATTCCGGATCCGATCCAGGAATTAAAGATGTATTTAACTTGGCCTCAGCCTTCTTCGGTGTTGTCAATGGCGATCCACTTCCTGACCCCACGAGGTCTATATCTTCCACAGGTTGACCATCAATGGAGTTCAGTGTCATCTGCAAACTGTGAGGATAAGCCAACGCAGAAGTCTGTGGTCTAGGAACGGGCGATGACTTATGAGGAGTTGTTCGAGATGAAGATGACGACTCTGTTAGCAATTTCGTCTGCGAAGGGTGATGCGAAGAACTATGAGAAGAGCTATGCGACGAACCTTGTTTGTCAGTTAGCGGAAGAGACCTATTCTTACGGAATCGTTCTTCCGTTTTTCTGCGGCACCTCCGATCTTCCAACTCCTCTGAACTCGCTGAATGCCGCGATTGATGGGGGCTAGGCGAATGGTGATGGTGAGACCGGTACGATGTGTGCGATGATGATGATGATTCTGTTCGCTGCTGAGGATGGTGATACGAATTCCTCAATTTCATCTGTGACTCCTTCTGCGACGAGCGAGAAGAGGTATGTCGATGTATATGGTGCGATGTATGTCGCGAACGATGTTGAAGTCGGTTCTGCAATTCTGCCACGCTAGTTAGCATCGCTTCTTGCATATCGATCATCATCTTCTTCAGCTTTTCTCCCGACGCAACCATACTCGCTTGTGTTTCCCTCATAATTCGATCAATATTATCAAAGCTCTTTTCCATCTGCGGTGTCATGTAGTAGTCCTCCTCCATGGTTCAGATTCTTCGTCTCCAGGAAGTAACAGGCTCTGATACCAATGTTAGAGTCCTCCAAGATTACAGCAATTACAGGAATTATTATCAAGAAACAAACTGAAATTCTTTATCAAAGAAGATGAGCAGTACAGTGACCTAGGCAGAAGCCTCCCAAAAGAGAAGAGATCGTCAGTCTCTAATCTTCCCAGTTCCCAGACCAAAGTCCCAAAAAAGCCCCCTAACTATCCCTCCTTCCTTCTATTTATACTAGACATACATTTTATTATTATTATACTCTATTGGGCCGGGCCCCTAACAACTGGGCCGGGTCCCTAACAATGAGTTGGCGGAAGAGTACTCTTATTAGCCTATTTAAAAATAAGGGTGATGTACAAGAATGTGCCAAATATCGAGGGATTAAGCTTATGAGTCACACCATGAAACTTTAGGAGCGAGTGGTTGAGCAGAGACTCCGAAAAAGGGTGAAATATTTGGAGAATCTATTTGGTTTTATTCCTGGACGCTCAACAACCGAGGTCATTCACTTTCTTAGACAAGTTGTGGAGAAGTACAAAGACACTAAAAAGGATCTGCATTTGGTGTTCATTTACATAGAAAAAACATATGATAGGGTACCTCGAGAAGTCCTTTGGTGGGCCTTAACTAAAAAGACATATCACATAAGTATATCAGTATCATCATGGATATGTATGAGAATTGTACTACAAGTTTCCCTACTAGTGTAGGGAGGACTGCAGAGTTCCCTATTAATATCGAAGTGCACCAAGGATCAGCTCTGAGTCAATTCAAGAAGATATACAATAGTGCACGATGTTTGCCAACGATAATGTATTGATTAATGAGACGCAATCACGTGTTAAAGTAAAGTTAGAAGTATGGCGATGGACATCATATCGATTCAGAATCTCGCGGCCACCGATTCAGAAGTTTGCGCCCGCTGATTAAGAAGCTTGTGGCTGTTGATTCAAAAGACGCCGCCGATTCATAAGAATGCCTCCTTTGGTCTAGAAAATGAAGTCATTGAATCAGAAGTTCACTGCTGTAATCCAGAAGCTGTCGGCCACCAATTCTAAAATTTGATGCCACCGCCGATCCAGAAGTTCACAACTCCCGATTTCAGAAGCTCTCTGCTGCCACATCCATCGATTTGAACGCTTGACGCTCATCTCAACGAGGAGGATGAGGGGGGGAGGGCAAGGAGGGAGGGGGAGGAGGTTGATTTTTCTGGAAGGTAGGAGGACAGGAGTTATGAATGGGGCTGGAAGTTAGATTTAGGATTCGTTAGTAATACTTATATTAAGGGTATTTTAGTCCCTTCATTTCAATTTAGTCTCTTTTTTGTCCATATTGAAATTAGGTCTTATTTTTGTCCCATCCAAACCTGGTAGCATTATTTATGTCATTATTTCAATCTTCATGTATATCTGGCAGATTTTGTTTCATGTTGTATTCTCTGACTTGTGTGTATTTATACCCAATGAATAATACACCGTGATGTCATTGCATCTTTAATCTCTATTACTCAGCTTAGAGAATTTATTATATTGAAGAGCAGTTACTCAGCACTAAAATAATATTAGTAAATCAAAGAATCATTGGACCTCAGCTGCAGCAAATCTTGACTTGGCTTCATCCATTTCCTTTTGTACTCCTCTCAGGGAAATCCAAATGGACTACAAAACAAGGAAAAGATTACACCAGACAAAAAGAGAGATCAATACAAATATGGCTATAGAAGACTTGTGCAGTCACCTGTACTGAGAGAACAGCAGAAATGGTAATTATTTCCTCGGAGCATCCAGAAGCACTTGAAGCCAAAATCATTTTTGAGATCATTGGGTCCTTTTAAATTATGACATTAAAGAGTGCACAATTCTTATAGGATACTGAAAATGCAAACAGTACTGCATAATTCTAGCAACGTACCATTGGAATCTCAGCGACTTGAAATCCAGTAGGTGAAGTGAGTTTAGCATCATCATCAAGGACCTCAAGAGAGTACAATATTTCGAGTGCTCTAATCATTGCTTCAGGTGATGGAGATGCAGGCCAATCAAAGCCTAATATATTGTCAATCCCCAAGGCCTTTAACTGTAAATGGAAAGAACAATGCAAGCATAAGAAATGTAAATATGTTCTCTTGGGAAACTAAGATAAGGTTTAAAATCAGCAAATGATATTTTGGTTTAAATATGCTGCACAAACCTAAACTACCTAAAACGATTTGCCAAGATCAAATATGTATGCTTTACTGATAGGGACCCGGGTACTACAAATAATTAGAGTCTTATTAAGTATTTTAATGTTTTCCAATAATAGGGTTCTAGGCCCAATAGCTTAAGTGAGGGCTGGCCCTTTTAGAGAGTTTTATTATAAAAGGGGGTAGGGGGGAAGAATAACGCAGGCAGTTTTGGGATCGGGACTGGGAACTTGGGAGTGTGAGGCCACTCGAAGAGTCTCAAACGTTTTTTTTGTATTCCAGCTTTAAAACTTCATTAATATACTCCGTTAGCTACTGGACTTCTATCGTTACCTTATCATTTGGTATCAGAGACCCTGTGTATGGTACTCACTCGACTGAACATGGAGCAGCGACTGGACAGTTTGGAACGATCGTTTGAACGATCAAAGGAAGAGATGCGCACAGAGTTGGGAGCGATGAACGAGTCGTTGCAGATGCTGTTGGAGAAGATGCAAAATCTCGAGACTCAGGGGAATCGCAGGAAAAGAAGAGGACGATCGGCCACCCCTCGCCGGCGCCAGACTTCTGCCAGTGTGAGTTCGTCCAGTTCAGGAGGTAATTCTCATGATTCTAAATCCGTTTCTCGTACTCCTGAGCATACGAGAATTAACGATCGGGTTTATACCGGAAGAAAGGTGGATTTACCTTTGTTTAGTGGAAACGATGCTTACGGTTGGCTTCTCAGGGTTGAACGCTATTTTAAATTAAATCATGTATCCGAGGGTGACAAAGTGGAAGTTGTCCTGATAGCCATGACCGAAAGGGCTCTGAACTGGTATCAATGGTGGGATGAACAGACTGATGACCACTCCTGGGGTAATTTTAAGGAAGCTTTGATCAGACGCTTCCAGCCGGAATTGGTTCAGAACCCGTTTGGCCCTATGCTCAAAATTAAGCAAACTAATTCAGTCATGGAGTACAGGGATCATTTTGAAAGGGTTGTAGCTCCCCTCAAAATTGCTGACCCAGAGATGCTAAAAGGAGTATTTTTTAATGGCCTCAAAGAAGAAATTAGCTCAGAGCTGAAGTTGCACCGGCCCACTGGGTTAACTGATCTTATGGACACAGCCCAGTTAGTTGAACAGAAGAACAAGGTATGGACGGGAGAAACAAATAAAGAAGAAGACAACAAAGGCTTGAAGGAACATGGAGGAAAACTTGTCAAAGCCTGGAATTGGGTGGAAGCGACAAAGGGAAGAACAACTGCTCCGGAGAGAACACTCTCAGAGAACAAACTGGAGGAATCGCCAAAACCAAATAAGACATGGGAGAGTGGCCAAAGGTTGACACAAGCGGACTTAGAAGAAAGAAGCAAGAAGGGCCTATGTTTCAAATGTGGAAATAAATGGGGCAAAGAGCATGTATGTGGAATGAAAAATTATCAACTTATCTGGATGGAAGAGCCAGAAGAAGAGAAGGGAACAGAAGATCAGTTATATGAAAGGGATGAAGCTGAAAACCTGCTGAAACCCAATGGAAAATCAGTCTCTTATCATCCACCTTGAGGACAAGGTGGAAGTTCAGGGGGGAGTGATGATAGGGACCCGGGTACTACAAATAATTAGAGTCTTATTAAGTATTTTAATGTTTTCCAATAATAGGGTTCTAGGCCCAATAGCTTAAGTGAGGGCTGGCCCTTTTAGAGAGTTTTATTATAAAAGGGGGTAGGGGGGGAAGAATAACGCAGGCAGTTTTGGGATCGGGACTGGGAACTTGGGAGTGTGAGGCCACTCGAAGAGTCTCAAACGTTTTTTTTTGTATTCCAGCTTTAAAACTTCATTAATATACTCCGTTAGCTACTGGACTTCTATCGTTACCTTATCATTTACACTCAATTAAACAATGAGTGGATCTTATTATGAGGATTTTGACACTCCAATCATCTAATGCATAAAATTATGTCCTCTGAAGTTTTTGTATTTTCTGTTACCCTACTTATCTATTTAAAAATATTAATTACAACAACAACAACATCCGAGCCTTAGTCCCAAAAGACTATTTCAAAATATTACTATGTAATTAACATTAATAAATTAATGGTTCCTCAGTCCTTGCTAAAAAGAACATTTAGATCTGAATCTTAAGCAGGAATTATGTTGGACTAAAGACTCCATCTTAACAGGTTAATACCATTTTAAAACATACGGTGTGTGAACTTATTAAATAGGTATAAATCAAGCATTAATTGATTTTAAAGCATACCTGAATAATACATGAAACCAGGTTTGACCTCTGTATCTCTGGAATTCCCTGGGAAGGCATCTCATTTATATAACACTCTTCAGTATAAAGCCTGGATATTCAAAAGAAAAAGGGCCAGCATATAATTTTGCATCAGATTATCATATTAAAACGTAAATGTAGCAATATGCAGCGGAACAAGTAAAACAAATCATATTCACATTACAATGCTATATGTTAAAATGGCTTGACATGTAACATTTCCATCTACTTTTGTGCATCTGAACTCTTAAGTCAATACCTGAAACATTTTCCAGGTCGAACTCTTCCAGCCCTACCAGCTCTTTGTCGGGCGGATGCCTTGGATATGGGAGCTACTATCAAGTTCTCAATGTCTGAAATCTTAAGCAAAGTAGAACTAAAATGAGAAATGCAAAAACCGCATTCAATGTGAACAAATAACACACTTCATCCACATCTCAAGTTGTGTCCCTCTTAAAGCAGCAGCAGACTAAAAAGCAGAGAAACTTCCCACACTTTCACGTTTCCTTGTTTCGGAAACTCAGAAGCGTGTTAGAAACTCGAAAATATCAGACTCTCGTTACGGGACCGTTTCCATAAAAAAAATAGTGAAGTTTTATGAGACCTCTTCCTAGCACCATTGTGATATTTCATAAAGCAATGCATTGCTAGGAATATATTGCATTATAGTTTAATTATGTACTAATTATGTACTAATATGTAACAATTTCAAATTTTAAACATATAGACTATATATTATTATTGGTCGATCAACAAAGTTATATAACTAAAATGCACATATATAATATATAATTATATATAAATGAAAGAAACATGCATACATATCATCATCATCATCATTACCCCAGTGCCGCAAAGGCTCCCACCTATGGTGGGGTAAGGGGGTCAGATGTACGCAGTCTTACCCCTGCACTAAAGTACAGAGAGACTATTTCCGGATGACCCATAGTGAAAATCGCGTCGGAAATTGCATGGACTGACTGCTGCTTCATAACAAAGAAGCGCAAACAGTTCACTGAACCATTTTGCTTTATTCCATCATCTTCCCAAGCCATAAATAGTGAGTCTTTAGCTCCATTGCAAATGATGGAAAAACATGCATACATATATTATTAAAATATATAAATAGGAAAAATTGATAGTAATAATCCCAACTATTGGCGGTCCGCTTATAATAATCTCAACTATCGATTATTTCAGAATAATCCCAACTTTAGGGATCTTCTGCCAATAATGGTCCGACGTGACCGGCTATAAATAAATTCCTATAGTTTCTAAAGTGGATGAGAAGAGATATAACAAGTAATCCCTATAAATAATCCCAACTTTTAATTTTTACGCTTAATTTCTACTTAAAATTCACTTGTTATAGCAGGTAATATCTGGTCATGGACCATTATTGGTGAACGGTCCATATAGTTGGGATTATACAAAAATAATCAATAGTTGGGATTATTGTTAGCGGACCGTCAATAGTTGGGATTATTACTTTCAATTTTTTCTTATAAATATGCCCTTATATTTGTGGGGAAGATTTTCAAATGGGCCCTTATAGTATAGTCAACTCGGCAATATTGCCCTCATACAAAAAAACACCCAATTGAGTACACTAACTACAAAAACCAACCGATCTCTCCCCTTTGAAGGATACCCTCCGGTTTTCAAAAATTTAAACTTATATGGCTATTATTTCTCTATTCACTTGCTGTGTTGTGACTTACTTGGCATCCATCTCTTCATTTTATTTTATTTTATTTTTCTTTTCTATTCCTTTTCTTTCATTTCTTTGCCTCTCGTCAACTCAAAAAGTCATTGCCAGTGGGTACCGATCCTCATCAACTTCTTGCCTTCTTGGTCTTCAATTCTTTCATCCAAAGACTTGGACTTTTCTTTTTCCTTATTTTTTATTATCTCCTCTTTCCCTACCAATCTCACCTCCGCCACCAGCTAGTTCTTCTCTTTACTGCACCATTTTCTCTTACGCTCTTCCTCTTTTTACATTTCCGTTTTCATAACTCCATTTAGTCAGATTTAGAACTGATTTGAAATTTTATTTTGGTCGATCTAAGAGTTAAAAACTAAGATTTAGGATTTTATTTTTTTTAAAGAAGAATAAAGAGGTTAAAGAGAAGTAGTTAAAGCCACACTAGCACCACCCAAAACTCACCAAACCAAATCCAGAAACTTTCTTCAGTAGTACGGCTCTCTACTAGCAGATTTTTCACTCAACAAATTGAGCGAAAATGTAGAGAAATTCACATCCATGAATAGAATATTTTCAATCCACAATCAATCTCGCTGACCAGGGAAATAAAATACAAAGCACCTTCCTTAGTTTCCACACCACCACTTGTTTGTTGCTAGAGTATTTATAGGGGAAGTGTTGGTGTGTGGGATGACGAGAAGCAGAAGAAACAGCGGAAGAAGAAGGCTGACAAAGAAAAACAAAGAATTAAAAGAAAAGAGAAAAATAATTGATTTGGAATTAAATAAAATAAAATAAAAATATAATTAAAAAGCCATGTAAATGACACATATGAAATGATTACCAGTAACCCGAAAGTTAACTGTTAAAAATGCGGATTGAACTATTTTATGAGTTGGCGTGTCCAATTGGGTGTTTTTAGGTACCAGGGTTTAGTTTCCAAAATTGAGATAGTATAGGGGCTGCTTATTCAACAGTTCTCCTTATATATATTAATACTTGCGCCATTATGCGTTTCCCCATGTTCTGTATGACTGTATCCTAAATTTTTTACAATCTTGTTTCTCGTGTTTCCTGTTTTGCGTTTCCGTGCTACTCAGGCAGCAAATCATACAGATAACATAGTTCTTCATAACTGCCTATGCATTCACCTTTCAGTTTATGTGCACTATGCTGGTAGCAGTAAGTTGATAACCATTCCCGCCCCCACCCCACATCCCCTCCAAAAAAGATAAGGAGAAATAGATAACCATTTCAAAATGTTATCAGAATTAAGCATATAGTAGTAATGAGAATGGAAGAATTTTGTGTGTTTAATATAAGAGGGTTAAGACCCTATATATAGGTTACAAAGAAGGAATATTCCTACATAAGATGCTATACTATAATAATGTCTAGAGTATATTCCTAAAGCATATTCTTATATAGAATATTCCTACATAAGATGCTATACTATAATAATGTCTAGAGTATATTCCTAAAGCATATTCTTATATACAATAATTCTTTCACACTCCCCCTCAAGTTGGAGCATAGATATTTATCATGCCCAACTTGTTACATAAGTAATCAACACGAATCCCATTTAGAGCTTTGGTGAATAAATCTCCAAGTTGTTCTCCAGTCTTCACATATTCGGTAGAGATCAATCCTTTTTGTATCTTCTCTCGAATAAAATGACAATCAACTTCAATATGCTTTGTTCTCTCGTGAAATACGGGATTGTTTGCTATGTGTATAGCAGCTTGGTTATCACACCACAATTTAGCAGGCATTGATGTCTTCAATCCGAGTTCAGTCAATAAATGGCTTATCCATATGATCTCACATGCAGATTGTGCCATAGCTCGATATTCTGATTCAGCACTCGAACGAGAAACCACATTCTGTTTCTTACTCTTCCAAGATACAAGATTACCACCAACAAAGACGCAATAACCAGATGTAGATCTTCGATCATCTTTAGAACCGGCCCAATCAGCATCTGCAAAACACTCTATTCTCATGTGATCATGGTTTTGATAAACAATACCTCGTCCTGGTGCACCCTTTAAGTAACATAATATGTGTTCTACAGCAGCCCAATGATCAATGGTTGGGGATGACATGTATTGACTCACTACACTCACAGAATACGCAATATCTGGGCGAGTGACTGCGAGATAATTAAGCTTTCCAACCAGTCTTCTATATCTTTCTGGGTCTTCAAACGGTGTGCCTTCTTGAGTGAGTTGAACGTTGGGAACCATGGGTGTTGTACTTGGTTTTGCCCCTAATTTCCCGGTCTCAGCTAGTAAGTCAAGTACATATTTTCGTTGAGATAGAAATATGCCTTTCTTACTTCGTGTTACCTCAATTCCCAAAAAATATTTCAATGAGCCAAGATCTTTCGTCTGGAATTGGCTGTGCAGAAAATTCTTTAGGGCCAAGATACCTGCATTATCACTCCCTGTAATCACAATATCATCAACATACACCACAAGCAATGTGATACCTGCTTGCGTTTGTCTGTAAAAGACAGAGTGATCTGATTGTCCTTTTTTCATTCCAAACTGTTCAATTGTTTGACTGAATTTCCCAAACCATGCACGCGGACTTTGTTTCAAACCATAAAGAGACTTGCGAAGTCGACAAACTTTCCCATACTCCCCCTGAGCAACAAACCCTGGAGGTTGCTCGATATAAACTTCCTCCTGAAGGTCACCATGCAAGAATGCATTTTTAATGTCTAACTGATGCAAGTGCCAACCATGAGTTGCTGCGAGTGAAATAAGTAACCTGACAGATGTTAATTTAGCAACAGGAGAAAAAGTGTCAGAATAATCTACACCGTAGGTTTGAGCATAACCCTTCGCAACTAATCGAGCTTTCAACCGAGCAATAGATCCATCTGGATTGACCTTCACAGCAAAGACCCACTTACATCCAATAGATTTCTTCCCTGTAGGCAAGTATACCAAATCCCATGTACCATTAAGATCCAAAGCATTCATTTCTTCTATCATGGCAAGACGCCATTCCGGATGAGCCAAAGCTTCTTTAACAGATTTGGGAATAGAAATAGAATCAATGGAGGCAATAAAAGAGCATGAGGTAGATGATAACTGACTGTACGACACAAAAGAAGAAATAGGATGAGTACAAGATCGTGTACCTTTGCGCAGTGCTATCGGGAGGTCAAGATCTAATGTACAGACAGGATCTGGAGATGCAGTTATTGGTTCAGGACATGAGGTCGAGATCGGATCAATATCAGGATAAGGAATCACAGGCGGGGGAAGATCTGGTGCTTTGTGTCGACGTGTGTATACCAATTGTATTGGAGGCCTAGGGTCGGAAACAGTAGGATGTGGAGTAATTTCCGAAGCAGTGGACTCAGGTATGGTGACTGTGTAAATGAGTATATCATCATTCTCCCTACAAATATCTGCCTCTGGAGATGAATAAGGTGTATTCTCATAAAATGAGACATCAATCGAAACAATATATCGACCTGTACTTGGACAAAAACATCTGTACCCCTTTTGAACTCGAGAATAACCTAAGAAAATGCACTTTAATGACTTGGGATCTAACTTTGTTAAATGAGGATTAACATTGCGAACAAAACAAGTGCAACCAAATATTTTAGGCGGTATAGGAAAAAGTTCATTATTTGGAAATAGGCACTGATACGGAGTTTTACCGTCCAAAACAGTAGATGGCATTCGATTGATCAAAAAACATGCGGTAGACACAGCATCCGCCCAAAAATGTTTAGGCACATTCATTTGGAAAAGAAGCGCACGCGCAGTTTCTAAAAGATGTCTGTTCTTTCGTTCAGCCACACCATTTTGAGGAGGCGTGTCTACACATGAAGTTTGATGAATTATGCCATGTTGAGCCATATACAACTTAAACGAGGCAGACAAATACTCTTGAGCATTGTCTCCTCTTAAAACACGAACAGGAACATTAAATTGAGTTTTTATTTCAGCACAAAAGGCACAAAAATGAGAAAACAACTCAGAACGCCGTTTCATAAAGTAAATCCAAGTCATACGAGAGTAATCATCAACAAAGGTAACAAAATATTTAAAGCCAATTTTAGACACAACGGGGCAAGCTCCCCAAACATCAGAATGAACAAGTTCAAAAGGAGCATGTGCTCGTTTATTGACTCGAGGGCTTAAACTAGTACGATGATGTTTTGCAAATTGACACGAATCACACTGTAAAGACGACACCTTATTAAATTGAGGATGAATTTTCTTCAACAAAGGGAGAGATGGATGTCCTAGTCGATAGTGAGCCTCTAACACAGATCCAACCCCAAGACAGGAGATGGTTTTAGGTAAGGATGTGTCCAAAAGATAGAGACCAGCCGACTCATATCCTTTACCAATAATCTGATTCGTCAACAGATCCTGAAATACACAATATCCAGGAAAAAAGGTTACAGAACAGTTTAGTTTACACGTGATTTTACTGATCGAAATCAAATTAAAAGCAAAGTTTGGAAGACTTAGGACAGGTGACAAAGGTAAGGTGGATGTTGGGACAATTGTTCCCGATCCTAAGACTGGGGAGGTAGACCCATCAGCTAAAGTGACAGTAGAAGTATGAAGAGGTGTGTGGAATGAAGAAAAAAGATTAGGATTACCTGTCATATGATCGGTTGCTCCTGAGTCGATGACCCATTTTGAGGATGAAGAAACAAGACATGTGTTTGGATTACCTGAATTAGCGACAGCTGAGATAGGAGTAGATGAATGCTTTAGAGTCTCTTGGTAGCAAAGAAATTTGGCGTATTCCTCAGAAGACATACTGATTGATCCATCAGAAGACTTTGTAGCGGAAGCAATGTGAGCAACTTGATTTCCTTGATTTTTGAATTTTAATTTTCTACAATCTTTGATCAAGTGTCCAGGCTTCTTACAGTAGTTGCATACTATGCCTTTGCCAGATGGACCAGTACGTGGCCATTTCTCACCTCCTTGGGTAAACGTTGGAACTTGCCCTACAAATGCACTGTTTGACTGAGGTGCTACTGGCGTGGATGAAGTATCGGTGCGAAGCACTCTAGTGAAAGATTCTTGAAGAGAAGAGACCTCATCACTAGATAAGATATGTGATTTGGCTGTTTCAAATTCAGATGTTAGACCAGCCAAAAAACTCATCACTGCCATTTGTTCTCTTTGTTTTTGCTGCACTTTGATATCAGGACTAAATGGCATTAATGTATTCAGCTCTTCATAGGTTTTCTTGAAATCCATAAAATAAGCCGTGAGAGGCTTATCTTTCATTTCCGCTCTGTAAAAGGCTTTGCACACCTCATAGATGTGGTTAAGATTACCTTTTCCAGAGTACATAAATTCCAAATAATCAAACAATTCTTTCACAGTATCGCAATGACTAACATACCCCATTACCTCATTCTCCATTGAGTTTTGAATTTGGATAAATAATCTAGAATCGTCACGAAGCCAGGCAGTATTAGCAACTCTATCAACCTCCTCCTTTGGCGGGTCATCAACTAAGTGAGTATATTTATCAATGCTCCTTAAATAGCGTTTGATAGTTTTACTCCATTCAAGATAATTAGAGCCACAAAGTTTATTCTCAGTAATTTTAAAATTAATGGGAATAACTTCAGAAACTATCAAAGGCTGACTTTGTGTTACAGTGGAGGTGTCAGAACCAGGCATTTTTTTTTTTCTTTTTTTTTTTTTTTTTTTTTTGAAACTGTAATAAAATTCAAAATTGAGATATTTAATTTAATGAAAACTTACAGCAGCCCGTTTTGGGCTGGAATAAAAATCCAGAGGCACGTCTGACTTGGGTGCTGATTTGGAACTGCAGACTGCGAGCACCTGGCACAGATGGGGGATATGGTCTGCACAAAGGTTCTGAATAGAGGGGGGCTAAAAAAAAAAAATCTGTCCTGGAGTGAGTTTCTGGGAGACAGAATGGTGCCTAGAGGTTCTGGAGAGTCTGAGCTGAAATCAGGTTTCTTTTAGAAAGAACCCAGTCTGAAAAACTAAGCTGAAATTTAAAAGAAAAAGGAACTAAATCTTTCCTAATGCTCTGATACCATGTTATCAGAATTAAGCATATAGTAGTAATGAGAATGGAAGAATTTTGTGTGTTTAATATAAGAGGGTTAAGACCCTATATATAGGTTACAAAGAAGGAATATTCCTACATAAGATGCTATACTATAATAATGTCTAGAGTATATTCCTAAAGCATATTCTTATATAGAATATTCCTACATAAGATGCTATACTATAATAATGTCTAGAGTATATTCCTAAAGCATATTCTTATATACAATAATTCTTTCACACAAAATAAGGCAACTCATGAACACTTTTGTACAGGGAGAACATACTTTTGAAATGGAACCACACAAATCATGGCACTTGTTAACTACAATGTGTGGTCATTTAGTAGGCCCTGTACTAACTAAATAAAGGATCTGATAGAGTAAAGGAGCTCCAGAAAATACAGTTAATTCATTCAATGAAAAGAAGAAGAAGAAGAAGAAGAAGAAGAAGAAGAAGAAGAAAAGACAATAAAAAGCTTCAGATAAACTATCCTAAGAGCCAAGAAGGCACACTGCAACATATTCTTGCCCCAGAAAAGCTGCTAATTGCTTAAAACTATTGTCTGCCTCTCTTCTTCAAAAGTGGGTTTGTTTATAGTAGAAATGTAGATAAAGACTGCAGCCTGTAGGCAGGGTATGAAATAAATTGCATCTCAATCAAGATGCTGTCATGCTATTTAATCGCCCTTGATTTCAATCTTGATTAAAGATCCAAATTTCATGATAATTTGTTCCCAATACTCTAATCAGAGATCCAAATTTCCTACTAGGATTCTAATTAGGTTCTTTGTTTTTCTTCCCTTCCAAATTCAAATATACCAGATTCTTAGCAACCTTTATTGGCATTACTAGTTAATTTGTGAATACTCAAAAAAGAAAACACGTATAATCATAACTATGAGCTTCAAAGTTCAAAATTCAAATGCCAAATGCTGATTGATTGCACAAAAGAAGAATCAAATATTAAAATTGGGAATTACAAGAGGTAGGGTTTCATACCGGATTGTAGAACCGTTGTTTTGAAAACCCACTATCAACTACATAAACAATACCCTGGACGAAAGATAATAAACAAAACTCAAGGTGAATAAACGCATCTACTTTTCTGTGCATCCCAGAATCAAACAATTGATACCTCTAAAGTTAATGAAGTCTCGGCAATATTTGTTGATATTATCACTTTCCTTTTTCCTCTGGGAGTTGGAGAGAACACAATATCCTGCCCAAAAAGGTAAAATATAGGGGAATTGAATACAACTAGGTATATTGGTATTAAAAAACAAGGGAATTGAATACAACTGTCATCCTGAAAATTTTCTGCCATATTTTGGCATTACGAGGCTTTAAATATGGCAGTATACTACCATAATTGGCAGTGTTTCCCACCTGATCAGCTCGTGAAAGACCTGAGAATAGTGGTACAACAACCAGTCCTGCCAAGATATCATTGTAAAATAGGCCAAGCTGTCAGGGATCACTAAAGTGAACATAACAGTGATAGCAATGAGTCCAATGACATACTACAACAACAACAACAACATCCAAGCCTTAATTCCAAAAGAGTTTGGGGTCTGCTAACATGAATCGACATATGACAATCGACATATGATAGCAATGACTTAATGAGTAATAAATATTGTTAACATCAACACGTTATCCAATTATCTCAAACTCCGTCATTTTTTGAGTTAAACCATCAATAGCAACTAAAAAAGAGAAAACGGGATCAAAATTCTTGATTTTTTGTTGCTAGACCTTTATACAAAGTATTCAGGGTATAGCAAAGTACTGGTCAGTGGGACAGTTTTTTGTATGTTCCTATGAGGGCACATGGCTCTGGACATGAAAATTACATCGGAAACTTTCCATTAAGGATGTTTTCTTTTGGACTGTTTTCAGTCCCAGACCAGATCAGACTAGGCCAGACCAGACCCGACTTCCGTAGTTATAAAATACACAGAGACCAGACGTTTACTAGACCAGACCAGATCAGACCAGACCAGCAAAATTCAGTCCAAAAGAAAACATCCTAACAAACCATGAGCAGAAACCAAATGTATAAGTGTTGAAAAGAAAAAAATATTTAGCAAATTAAGGCAAAATGTTGAAGTTATGCTTCAAAGCAAGTGCATTAAAACATAGAACAAAATAACAAGGAAGCAATAAAAACCTAAGCAAGTGCATTAAAACAGTGAACATCGTTGGCAAGGGTTTGACCTTTGAGGAACACAGAAAATCTTAAGTTTGACAAGATTCTTTTACTTTCAGTATTTAGAAAAATGCACCTTGTTTCTGTTTACTTTGGGTTTCATCTGTAAGCATCTGAACTGCAGTTTCAATCTCATCTTGACCAGTGAGGAACAACAAGATATCTCCCATTGGCTCCTAGAGTTAAAGAAATGAAAAGTAAAGACAGGAAAGAGAAGGGCCAAACATACTGGAAACATTGTCTTCAACAGAAACTCATCCAAGTATTATTATCCTGCACACTAAATGTATTTGGGTGGCACGGGGTGGGGAGGCTTATAAGATTCTCAATGAAACAAAAGGTTAACTCAAGCAATGCTTAGAAAATAATAGCACACTAGAGTAATCCAAGAAGCAGGAGGCATATGCTTACAAATACAATTATGTGTGTTCATGCTTACATGATCATGGATTGACAACACAGTTGAAACAGCAGCTTGGACATAATCAGGAACAGGATTGTCAGCATAAAAAACCTCCACATTATATCCCCTGCCCTGAAGTATAAGATAAATTGTTTACACTTACACAGCATTAAAAATTGCACAACATTAAAAATTGCACAACATTAAAAATTTCATAGAAAACAAATCATAGAGCACTATTTGTACCAACCAGGCCTTAAAAATTAAGTGAAGGACGTACCTCTACTGAAAGAATGGTAGGTTTTCTACTAGGTCCTTTCTCCTCCTGATCTTGTAGACGCCTTCTAATTATTTTTCAAAAGTATAGATGTTAATCAGGGACAAATAGGACACATTGGGTTATTACATGATGTTGACGATAAATAAATGCAAATAGTATATATAAAAGACTATGCATGTGATTCTTACTAATGTTTTAAACTTTTTATTACGTTATTACACTGTGATACATAAAGATTACAGAGTACTTCAATATGGTATTAGGAAAGACAATATGTGTTCAGTTCTGAACCACACGATACACTGCATAACTGTACATTCATGTAGCCCAGTGATAGAAACTCCAGAGTCCAGACTCCAATGTAAGATAGAGTATATTAGATAAGAATTCTGATGAAATATCAGAACTCGGAAGGTATAGCAATGGCAGACAAATAAGAAAGAACAATGAGACAAGTTTGAGAGTGCCTCTCTCTCCCAGTTCCGCTAACAGAATACCTGACTACCTTCTCACTCCTCTCCACTTTCTATTAATAGTCCCCCTTACACAGATGCCCACTCGGCTAATTAGTTAAAACTCCTGCCCCCCCCCCCCTTTCTTGAATATTAGTATGATTATTATCTCCCTTCCTCTCGCTTCTTCTGTCCTGGTCTCTATCATCACTCCTCCCTGAACTTCCACCTTGTCCTCAAGGTGAAGTGCAGGAAACTGCTCTTTTAATTTCTTCATAAATTCCCATGAATCTTCAAATTCAGGTAGTTGTTTCCTATGTATCAATAGCTCTTTATCCCCTGTTGGCCTGTTGGACTCATCCTGGTTCCTAACACCTTTTCTGGGGTATCCTGTACCTCCCATTCTTCAGATAAACACTGGGGTAGTGGTTGACAAGGTGTGTGAGAGAAAACTGACTTCTTCAGGAGTGATATATGAAACACTGGATGCACAGCACATTCTTCTCGAAGTTTCAGTTTTGAATGCTACACTTATGAGTTTATAGGGTTAGAGCTCCAAATACACTTTATCACCTCTCTCAGAGAAAAATACAGAAGAGAGCTGAATCTGGAGGTTTGTCTCTGTGTTTGTCTACTTGTTGTTTCATCCTGTTCTGAGCTATGGCAAAGTTAGACTTCAACTCTTCCACCATCATATTCTTTCAGCAGTTAACTTGGTCACTTCCTCCAATCAAGGTGGTCAAAATCGTGATTTGAATCGCAAAATCGTACAATTTTATGATTCAGGGTATAACACTGATCCGGGTGGCATATAAAATCGGAATCCTAAGCAATTGTCTAAAATCCTTCCAAAATCGAAAAAATCATTACAACAACAACATCCAAGCCTTAGCCCCAAACGATATTGGGGTCGGCTAACATGAATCGATACATGATATCACCAAAAGGAAAAGAAAGAAAATAAAGATAAAAAAGATAAGCTATTATAAAAAAAGATAATATAAAAGAGATGAATATACATATAAAAGATAAAATAAAAAGGATAAAGTAATATTTATATATAAGGATAAAAATATAAAAAGAAAAAAGAAAAAAAAAAGAGGGGAAAAGATGATACATCACTCCACACGAATATCCGCCCTCCATTTTGCTCTCTCCAAAGCCATACCCTCATCCAATCCAAGAAGAAGCATATCACTTCTGACTCCCCTAACCCACGTCTGTTTGGGCCTTCCTCTCTTCCCTGCCTCTTCTCCACACATCTCAACTCGTCCGACAGGTGCATCACTCGGTCTTCTATGCACATGACCAAACCATCGTAGGCGTGACTCCCGCATCTTATCTTCAATAGGTGCTACTCCCACCCTTTGTCTGATTGTCTCATTCATCGCGCGGTCCTTTCTAGTACGCCCACACATCCAACGCAGCATGCGCATCTCTGCCACACTCATCTTTTGAATGTGACATTCTTTCACCGCCCAACACTCTGTGCCATACAGTAATGCAGGCCTAATTGTTGACCTATAAAATTTACCCTTCAGTCTAGTCGGCATACCTCGATCGCATAGAAATCCGGACGCACTCTTCCACTTCATCCACCCTGTTCTGATTCTATGGGATACATCACCATCTAACTCATCGTTCTTCTGAATTATGGAGCCCAAGTAACGGAACATATCGCTAACCAGTATCTCCTTACCATCTAAAGTAATTCCGCTATTACCACTGCTTCTACCTCCATCAAACTTGCACTTCATGTACTCTGTCTTGCTCCTACTTAGTCTGAAACCCATGTTCTCCAATGTTTGTCGCCATACTTTCAACTTTGTTTTAACCCCTGATTGTGTCTCATCAATCAATACAATATCGTCGGCAAACATCATGCACCACGGTATATTGTCTTGAATTGACTTTGTAAGTTCGTCCATGACTATGGCAAATAAAAAAGGGCTCAGAGCCGATCCTTGGTGCACTCCGATAGTAATAGGGAACTCCGCAGTCCTCCCTACACTAGTGCAGACACTTGTAGTACAATCCTCATACATATCCTCATTAAAATCGAGATTTTTCCAAATTTTACGATTTTAAAATATGTATTCAGCACAGCCAAATGCGGCCAAATTTATTCTCGCCATTTTCAAGCCTGTATCGGAAAGCTTTGATCAAAATACGGCCCAAATTCCTCTGGCTTTCAAACATGCCTTGTGATGTGTTAGTTACAAGCCATGTTGAAGGCGAGCTTTATATAAGAGAAAGAGATGGGAAATTGCTATAACACTTCCTGTGTGGGAAAGTTACAAACAGAGAATATAAGATGTGAAGTAACTTTCTAAACTGAAAATTTCCCCTTGGCCAGCTTTTGAATCTGTGTGAGTTCATTAAAACGAATTTGCTTTACCAAGTACTTGACAAATGATTGTTTACAATAGAACTATTAAGAAACGACTGTATAAATACATATATTATTTTCTTCAAAAAAACATTTCAAGTAGTGCTTATGTATTCTTACTATTCATATACTCCCTCCGTCCCTTTTTATTTAGCCAAACACTATTTTTCAAGTCAAAGTTGTTCAACTTTGACTGATTAAATATTTATACACGGTAATATTAATAATATGTAAATTATATGAAACTGTTTTTTATTAAAAATACTATCATAAAAGTATAAATTTATTAACTTTTACATAAACATATTAGTTAAAATAATGGATCAAAGTGTATCATCTTTGACTGGGAAAGTCAAAGTTGGCTAAATAAAAAGGGATGGAGGTAGTATTTATTTTGAAATTTGATTAAAACATCATGTATTTATGTATTTAGTGACTTTTGTTTTTCGATTACATAACATTATTTTGTTACGTATTAACTATTTTGTACACTTTAATTGAGAAATTACCATTAGACTTGAACTCATGGTGATCTGATTTGTTAATGTTAAGTTGTGAGTTTCTTTTATCCAATACTTTTAAAAAAATGTAAAATCTTACGATTTACGATTCGATTCTCCAATTCAATTTTTAAATACTTATACCAATTCAATCTAAAAATTCAATTTTAACAATCTTGCCTCCAATGTTGTTAAGGAAACATCTCCTCTTATCAAGGTTGGAGGATCCTGCCCATAGAGAGCCTTTAAAGGGGTGTTTTAAATGGACACATTACCATTAGTGTTATACCGGTACTCTCTGCTCAAGGTAGCCATTTAGGCCATTGCTTAGGTTTCTGTACAGTTGTGCACCTCAAGTAAGTCTCTATGCACCTGTTGACTACCTCAGTCTGTCCATCAGTGAGAGGGATAGGCAGTGTTGTACTTCAATTTAGTACCAGTCATTTTGAACAATTCTGACCTGAATGAACTCAAAAATAGGCTATCTCTGTCTGATACAATAGATTTAGGGAATCCACAGCCTCACCACTCCTTTGATAAAAGATTCAGCCAGTTCCTTAGCACTATAGGGATGACTTAATGCAATGAAATCCATATTGATGCCTGTCCCTATGCTGTTAGGTATGGGAAGGGGTTGAAGAAGGCCTACTGGGCTCAGAGCTTGGTATTTATTCCTCTGGCAGATTTCACAGCTACGTACATAAACTTGGATGTCCGTCTCATGCCTGCCCAGTAAAACAAATTGATTATCCTCTTCATGGTTCTGAATTGGCCCACATGACCCCCCTACTGCAGAATCATGAAACTCTTTTAATATCACCTGCACCCTAGGAGAATCACTGGGAATCACTAGCCTTCGCTTGAAGTATTATAGTCCTTTCTTCATTTTGAAATCTGGCTGAGCCTCAGGTTGACCTATTAATTGCTGAATGATGGTATTATACTTTTCATCCTTCAAAATTTCTTCCTCCAACCCTTCCCACTCCTGACAAGTCACCATTGATAGAGTTTCCGAACTCATCTTAGAGAGAGCATCCGCAACCTTATTCTCCACCCTAGGTCTATATCTGATTATAAAATTATACCCTAACAATTTTGTGACCCATTTCTGCTGATCCCTCCCCCATAATTCTCTGCTCAGTCAAGAACCTCGAGCTTTTCTGGTCTGTACGTATTTAAAACACCCTTCCCAACAAGTAAGGTCTCCATTTCTATACTGCTAGAACAATGGCCATCAACTCTCTCTCGTATACTGATTTATTTTGGTTTCTGGGAGATAATTCTTTGCTCATGTACGCAATGGGTCCCCTTCTTGCATTAACACTGCTCCCACCCCTTTTCCAGATGCATCAGTCTCCACCACAAACAATTTGTTGAAATCTGGTGTGATTAGAACTGGTAAGGTGGTCATGGTTTTTTTAAATCCTCAAAAGCAGCCATGGCAGTCTACTCCAATTTGAACCCATCCTTTTTTAGGAGATCGGTGAGAGGGGCTGTTAGTCTGTTGTAGCCTCTTACAAATCTCCTATAGTATCCAGTGAGACCCAAGAATCCTCTGAGCCTTTTTACATCTTTAGGCACGGGCCAATTGGCCATATCTGCTACTTTAGCCGGATCTGCTGACACCCCCATCTCTAGAAATGATGTGATCCAAATAGGATAACTTATCTTTCTCAAAACTACATTTCTTCTTATTAACATAGAACTTGTTTTCTTGGAGAGTTTGCAATACTCTTTTCGCATGCCCTATATGATCCTCCTTTGTAGGACTGTAGATTAAGATATCATCAAAAATACCAGAACAAATTTTCTCAAATAAGGTCTCAATACCTTATTCATGAGAGCCTAGAAAGTGAAGGGAGCATTGTGTTACAGATTCCTTTTGGGGCATCAGATATCAAAGGAAAGCAATCCGCAATTAATGGAGTAGTAGACTACAAGAATATAAAGAATCATAGATTTTTAATAATTTACTGATTTGTTGCAATTGTTATTTTTGATTTATTTTCTTTCCATTTAAGTTGGCATAAAATAAGGGAATTGATGGTAGAATCAACTCTATATATTGGTAGAATCCTGTAGGAATAAAGTTATGCAATTTTCACCCTAAACTACTGAACATTGCCAAGGGCAAGTTTCATCTCATTATCTGGGAAACGTCAAGGACGACCCCTGCCTTCTTTCAGTATTGCTCGTAAAAAGAAAACCATTCCCGTCTCTGTCCTTCCCACATCAAGCTACAGACCCTGGACGAGGGCCTGCACCAACACACTTAACAATTTGGCATCAGATTTCAGGACGATGGGCGATCCGTCTAAACTTGTCAGCACTCTCAAATCTACTCTCGAAACTCAGAATGCTCGCACAGGACGACTTGAAGAACAGATGGCTGAAATTGCAGATTCCTTGAGCCATTTGGGACAAACTCATTCCGTGGTTCCACCGGGCATCCAAAATTCAGGGACACAGGTTAACTCTAGCGAGCCTTCCCACACTGCAGCAACCATAGAGGGTGGCAGCTCATTCGCCCCAAGGTTCTCCAAATTAGAATTTCCCATGTACAATGGTACCAGTGATCCCGTGATTTGGCTGAGGCGTTGTGAGAAGTTCTTTGACCACCAAAACACTATAATGCCTGACCGAATCCGGCTTGCAACCTTCCACATGACAGGAGAGGCACAACTATGGGCAGAAGACCAGGAATCATCAGGAGAAGCATCCACGTGGCCCGACTTTCGCGACCGTTGTATTCTGGCTTTTGGGCCTCCATTAAGCTCTAATCTAGAAGGAGGTTTGTTCAACCTCAAGCAAATCAGGACTGTCTCGGAGTATATTACTGCATTCCGAACACTACTGCCGAGAACAGAGGGATTCGACACCCGCATGAAGGTTAAACTTTTCACTGCCGGATTGCAGGAGTATATTAGGCTGGATATTGAATACCAACATCCCGGAAATCTTGATGTTGCCATGAGTTTGGCTCATGCAGTTGAGCGCAAATCCATCGCAACACCAACTCCTGCCTACCAGCAACGACCGAAAATTATCCTGGCCCCTTCTCTGCCTACTGTAGTTTCACCACAACAAGGTTTGGCGACTTCTGCCACCTCCCACGCAGTGGACCCCAATTCCACTCGCAAAAACTACACTCCTCGTCTCATTCACAAAACGGGCAGCCCGCCAAGCTAAGGGGTTATGTTACAATTGTGATGAAAAGTGGAGTACCAGCCACAATTGTCGTCGCCTTTTCGTAATTGATATAGCTAAAGAAGATGAGCCCCAATCGGAGGATACCTTCAACGATTCTGATCCAGAGATTTCCTTGAATGCCATCACTGGCACACGCCATTCATCTACTATGCAACTGTTGGCTCACATCGGGGGGACACAAGTAGTAGTCCTGGTGGACTCTGGGAGTACACACAACTTCGTGCACAAGGATTTGGCGACTACAATGGGGTTCCACATTTCACCTCAATCCAAACTCCGAGTTATGATGGCAAATGGAGACCGTGAACCCATTTTAGGGATGTATGCAGGTCTTTCCTTTGAAATGGGTGGAGTTCACTTCTCTGCTGATTTTTATGTCTTAGAACTTCCCAGTTACGATGCCATACTTGGTGTACAATGGTTACGACAGTTGGGCTCCATACTTTGGAACTTTGACACACTTTCCATGAAGTTTAAATGGAAGGGTCAAACTGTTGAATGGGTGGGGCAGCTTTCAAATTTCGTTCCACACTTGAATTTGTCTATTACTGAGGCCTATGACAGACATCAAATGGATGGCTAATTCGCAGGTTTTGAGGACCTGTTTAGCGAGCTTTCTGGCCTCCCACCAAGCCGCAATTGTGATCATTGCATTACTCTTAAGCCAGGCTCAGGTCCTGTGGTTGTTCGGCCCTATCGTTATCCTTATTTTCAGAAGGATGAAATCGAACGCCAATGTACCACCATGCTGCAACAGGGAATCATTCGCCCCAGTCATGCACCATTCTCCTCGCCAGTGTTGCTGATTAGGAAGCCAGACACATCATGCCGTTTTTGTGTGGACTATCGTGAATTGAACGCTCGGACAGTGAAAGATAAATTCCATATTCCTGTGGCAGAAGAATTATTTGATGAGTTGCACAGTGCGCGATATTTTACTAAATTTGATCTGTGCTCAGGCTATCATCAAGTACGAATGGCGCCTGAAGATGTCGAGAAGACAGCATTTCGCACTCATCATGGCCACTTTGAGTTTCTTGTTATGCCATTCGGCCTCACCAACGCTCCATCCACCTTCCAGAGCTTGATAAATGAGATCTTTGGGCCATACTTACGTAAGTTTGTTCTTGTGTTTTTTGATGACATACTTATATACAGTAAAATGTGGTTGGAACACTTGCACCATGTTCGACTAGCCTTGGAGGTGCTTCGTGCTCACACACTGTTTTTAAAACGCAAGAAGTGTCTTTTTTTGGGAACTTCGGGTTACCTACCTTGGACACGTGGTGCACGGGGATGGCGTCGAAGTGGACAAATCCAAAGTTCAGACAATTGTTGATTGGCTGCAGCCACGGACAGTGACTGTCTTGAGAGGATTCATGGGTTTAGCGGGTTATTACCGCAAGTTTATACGGGGTTATGGCGACACAGCTGCACCTCTAACTAGTCAGCTCCGCAAGAACAATTTTGTGAGGAATGATGAAGCCCACAATGCATTTCAAGAGCTCAAGGTTGCTCTGTCCACAGCCTCAGTTTTGCAGCTCCCAAATTTCAGCGACACATTCATTGTGGAATGTGATGCTTCTGGATCTGGGGCAGTCCTACAACAATCTAATCATCCCATTGCTTATTTTAGTCAGAGAATAGCTGCCCGGCACATCAAATTAGTGGCCTATGAAAGAGAGCTAATTGGATTGGCCAAGGTTGTTACACATTGGCGTCTATATCTATGGGGGAGTGAATTTCTCATTCGGACAGACCACTCTAGCCTTAAACATTTGTTAAATCAACGACTCTCTACCTCTCCACAGCAACATTGGTCCAGTAAGTTGATGGGATACCATTTTTGGGTGGAATACAAGCCTGTGAGATTGAACGAAGTGGCAGATGCTCTCGGCTAATTAGTTACAGCTCCCCCGCCCCTTTCTTTTATACACTTTATCGAAATATCGAATATTAGTATGATTAATATTTCCCTTCCTCTCAATTCTTCTGTTCTGGTCTCTATCACTGAACGAAATCTGATAAGAACAGAAAAGTAAAATCAACGGGGTGAACCGTTGCCCAGATAATCAACGATAAATAAATATCGTTGCCCAGAGCCAAAAGGCCAAACCAACTTTTATTCCAAGATGATAAGAATGAACCCTGACGAGGGGTATAAATAGCCTTCTACAAGCAACCCTAATCAAGCCCAAATTAATTAAATCCTAATTAGGCCCATACTACTCTACTAATAAAAGGCCCAAACCAAAACATAACATTAACTTAAAATAATAATAAATAATTATAAAGACAGCCCGTAATCGGCCCACGGAAGTGGGCCCAAGCCCGGTCCCGCCACGAGCTCTTCCCGCTTCATATCAAAATCATATTCGATACACTTTCGTTTGGTTGAAAAGAAAGAAGCGACGAAAGAAGGATGAAAGAAACAGTTTATTTATTTATTATTTGGTATGAAAGGAATAAGAGGGAGAGAGAGAGGAAAAGAAATATATACTAGTTTCAAAAAGACTAATATACCCTTAACGATATACAGGAAGTGGGTATAAATGGAAACAAACAAAAAAGAATTATAACATTGCAGGACTAAGAAGGAGATTTACACGAAGGTCAACATCTTTTGCTAAATACATTGATAATGTCCAGCACAGTTAGGTAATCCATGAACTTATGCATGTTTTCTTCAGGACTTCAGGAAGAAAAGGATCAATAGCCAGAAGTAACATGAATTTAGATGAGAAACATATCAGGTGAATGGTGATGAAAACAAAATATTCCACCAAACTGATATAAAATTCAATTGTGGATAATATTTAAAATTACAAGACTTCAAATGAGTAATGACTAATCAGTTTGCTCAGTCAATATACGGTAAAACTGGATACCATAACATTTGGCAAAAACCTAAATGAGAAACCTGGTTTTAAAATAATCCGACATTGATCTTGCTTCTATTGTAGCTGAAGCAATGATAAGACGCAGCTCATGCCGGCGTCGTTGAATCTGGATTCCCAAAGTTATCAGATCATTAGAGTACACGTTCAAGTCAGAAAAAACAAACTATGCTATTAGACACAGAGAAGGCACATTGGTTGTTATACGGAAAACAGACCTTTTTCAGAAGTCCAATTAAGATATCAGTGGAAATAGACCTTTCGTGAGCTTCATCTACCATTACCACGCTGATTAAAAAAAATATTAACATAAAGTAAAGGGTGCACTATACTTAAGTACTAATCAGATCAAAGAAAGGACTAACCAAAGTACGTGTTTTCATATAAAAACAAAATCAAGAGCCCGGCAATAAGGAAATGGAATTAAAATACACGAACTAAGTACCTATACTTGCTCAGTAGAGGATCATCCATCATTTCCCTCAGCAATACTCCATCAGTTAAGAATTTAATTCTTGTCAAGTCCTGTGATACCATAATAGAAGAATCCCAACAATAATGCAGATCAAACTTAGTCATGGAAAAACACATGCACAAATAATTACCTTTCCAGGTGTCCATCATACTTCCCCTTTCCCAGATAACAAGGTTCCACCTTTCCTTTATTGTCCATTCCAAAATAAGATTCATGTTTTCTTTTTACTAAGGATTGTGTGGTTCATATAATATTCCTTCCCTCTGCACATCCCAACCACACAGTTTCATCTTCTTTATTAAGTGTGTCAGGTCAAAATCAAATGGATAACCTTATTTGGGATGGAAGTAGTATGATGCTATCACGCTACAAAGAGCTAGTGACCAAAATGTTCACCAAAGACATATATAAAATTAAAAGACAAGTCTCACTGTATTAGTAACATCTTCAAATCGGATTGTGTATCCTACTTCCTCACCCAGTTTTACTCCCATCTCTTCAGCAACCCTAGATGCAACTGCCTGCAGAAATATAGCTCAGCCTTTGAATGGATGTCTCAAGTTTCAAGTATTTAGCATCTACATTCAAAACTAAGGGTGCAATAAAGCTATATTTTAATTGATGACAAATGGAAAATAGGCAGCTATTTGACATATATATTGCTACTTTGTTAGACACCTGTATTATATTAAAAAAGAAAAAGTGGCATAAATTATTCAATCGAAATTGAAAACATTACTAGGGTTTAAGAAACAGGAAGACACAGGTAACTAGCCCTTGAGCCCTACACTAAATAATACTACCTCCGTCCTGTTGGAAGGTTCCCATCGCAAAACGGCACGGTTATTTAGGTGATAATTAAATAAATTACTTCGGGTATATTTTGAGAAATAATTTTAATAGGTATATATTATAATGTGTTAGTATTGATAACTGTGATGCTATAAATGTATTATTTTTAATATTTAATGACTAATTTGTCAATTAAGATTGTTAATTGTTTCCTAAAATGGAAATGGGAACTTCCTAATGGGACGTCCAAAAAAGGAAAGTGAGAACCTTCTAACGGGACGGTGGGAGTAGTGGAGGAGCTGGGCGGGGGCATGGAGGGGCAAGCGCCCCCGCTTCGTGCCAAAAGTTAGTACTACTACTTATAATATACTCTGTATTTAATGTCACCCTTCTTTTTTCAAAAATAAATACTCATTAAAGACAATTTTAGATTAAGTATTAAAATAAAAAACAAAATCTTTCAGGAAACGTGTCTCTAGGAATACAAGTACGTATTGAGTGCAGTGTACGTCGCTCATTTGAATGCAAATGTAGATTGTTTTAGACCTTTAATGTCACACGGGTTCACTTTTTCGTGGTTATAGTGCAAAAGAGTAGCGGGATTAACGAACATGTTGTCACATTTCTTGAAACAAAATGATCAAAACATTCTCGAGACTATGTTGGATTCCCTCCTTAAGGAAAAATTCATGAGAATTTTAGAATTTGCAAAGATGTCTAAGATAATTTGTATATGCGTGTAGAGAAGTATTGAATGTTCTAGAATAATATTGGAATGTTTTCTATAAAAGTGTGGAACTCACTAAAACCGTGCGGAAGAGTGTGGAAGCCTCTCAAACATTTTGAAGAATTGTGAAGTTCTCTAGATCCTTCCATTAGATTAGAGAAGCTTATGGATACTTCTTGGAAGAATGTAGATGTGTAATGGTGTATAAAAAATTCTAAAGAAACTTTGATGAGATTAGTATAGATAGGGAATAAGGGCGTGACTGCTCATTTCTATGAGAACCTTTTGAGTTTTGAGTGTGTAGATGAGTGTAGGAGAGTCCTATAAGCCCATTTTCTTGTGCAAAAATTTGAACATATTAAAACTCATATGATTGATTTACCCAGATTATAGATATGAGTCAAGTAGAATGTAATGACTAATTTGTGTTAATGTGTTACTCCGTACATTTTTTATTGTTTTTATTATATTTTGAGAAAATACACCATAAATCTTAGCCACTGGGTGGGAGTAGTGGAAACTCAAGTTGGACATACACTTATCTCATCTTACTAGTAATCATGAATGAAGTCCCTTTTAACTTCTGTAGGACAGTCAATATACTTAAAGCAATACAATGTTGAATGAATAGCCAACGACAGGATCTGGATACATCTCAAGGCAAAAAACAATACCTGCACAGCCAATCTCCGAGGTTGGGTACAAGCAATTAGGCGCCCTCCCTCTGCCCACCCAGCTTCATTAAGATACTGTGGCCATATATAGTACCAAACAACAATTTTTTTAGAAAAATGAAACTCAAAGTTCAATTCTTCAGGAAAAGTTTAAATAAAACCTATACAACACAGTAACACGATCCCACAAACAGTTCTACGGGCGAAAAACATAGTTGAACTTATTAACATCTATGGTCTACCCTTAACCGAGCATTCAGCAATTCACCAAAATACCTGAGGAATCTGAGTTGTTTTTCCGCTTCCTGTCTCGCCCACAATGATAGTGGTGGAATGTGTCTCCACCAAATAGAGGATGGCAGTTCTGTACTTGTACACCGGAAGCCTTTGTCTCTGCTTCTCTATATTCCCATATCCGAATCTGTTAAGGAAACATGCGCATACTGCTTCATCACTTACATACATCCATACAAACGCTTACATACATACATAATGATAACTCGGTAAGAAGCACAAAATAAGTGAAACAAAATGCTCAAGAATACAATATGTGTATTGTAGGGGAAAGAATATGAGTCTGGTACCCGGATGAGAATGAAGGTGAGGACGAGTAGAGGAGGACACCGCCGTCTTCGTCGTCGACTAGACGGGGTCGCTCAGTTCCCGGCTTCCAGAAATGTGCCATTTATTTTCGAATGCAGGTGAAAAGTTGATACCATAACTTTTGTTACAATTTGCCGGGATATGGCCATTTTTCTTTTTAGATTATTTGGATTAGCCCTCTAATGACCTCTAATTTTTTTAAGTAATTTGAATTAACCTCTAATCTTTGAGTAAACATTAAATTTATATCTCTAATACCCATGTTCAAATTAATTCATTACTCTCATCGTTCTCTTGGGTAACCGGGGCAATTCGTTGGTGGCGGGGCAGTCCAGTAGCGGCTGGTAGTCCGGTGGTGGCAGGGGTGGCTGGCGTCGGCGGTGACCAGAGGCGGTGGAGGCGGAGCTCCGGCGGCGGTGGTAGGCAACCTGAGAAAAATTGAGGATTTTTTTTGCATCGCCAGAGCTCCTGCGACCAGCGGTTGCGACGACCGGAGATCGTCGACGGAATCTTGATGTCGACGGAGGTCGCCGGAGCTCCGGGGGCCGGCGGCGGCAGTGGTAGTGTGCTTGCGGCAATGGCAGTGGGTTGGTGGGCAGTGGCAGTGGGTTTGTACAACCCTGAAAAAAATCCTATATTTGGAATATTTAAGTTACTGCTCCTTTTTTGCCTTTGATCATGTTTTGCTCCTAGTTTGAGAATTACCTCTATATTAGAAAAGATTATTTACATTTGAAAAATGTTATTTGTACATTTTTTTGTACACGCTCCCTATTAGGAGTGACTACAAAATTGAAAGACTGAAACCGAAATGGATTAAAACTGACTAACTCCTCGATAGTTCAGTATACGGTTTAAACTTTTGAGTTAAAATCCATCGAGCCAAAACTGGCCGATAAAAATCAATCAAAACATGCTAAAACCGATCAAAACTGATAAAAATTAATTAAACTTGTAAGGAATAAATTACATTTTAGATTTTGATGATGTTGTTTAACTAGGGGTAAATTATAAGGTACAACCGCTTGTACCTTAAGCATGTTAGGGTACTTTTGTAATATGTAGCAACTTTAAGCCGTTCAATGAATAACTCGTCCCTAACCTTTGAATCTTGCGCAAGAATCCCGGGATTTTTCGCCGATTGTCTCCCTCGCTTCCAATCATTTGCATGGAAGAGTCGCCTTTGTTGAATAATCTTAACGAATTAACGTTTCCGGTAATCTTCTCTAATCAAATCAAACACAATAAATTCAACAAGTATATGATGTAAGATTACTTACCTGATCGAAGGAAATCTTATCTTGTTTGAAGACGAAGCCATGATTCCTGTTATGATGTCTAATTTAGTGATGGATTGATTAGTGTTTCCCATAGAGTTGATTTGGTGTTATTTATAGTGCTATGGGGACATAAGAGAATGGTCATGACTAAACAATGTGTCATTTCGTTTGTTTATGAAAGAAGAGACACAAATGAATGGTCATGTCTTCTTATTAATTTATTTAATTAATAGACATCTAACAGGAAATCAATTATCCCCTTATAATAATTACAATTACTCCCATCAAGTAATGTTTAGGTAAGACATTGACACATTATATCATATTGGCGTAATTACTATTAAAATAGTTGTAATTGAATAATAATTATAAATGGTCCTAAGGCCACATAAAAATGGAAAATATTCCAACATTCTCCCACTTGGCCGAGTGACCATTTATGATGAGTATTCATAAGTTTGGCCAAAGTTAATACCCATCAAGTTTCATATTAAAGTTATAGCAAAAAGATACAGTCATTTTGTTCTTATCAACAAAAGACCCCCACCAATTATACCAAAACTTTAACATAAAACACTTAGAAAATTTAATGCCAAAACGATGGAGATATACAATATTAAATTGTATATATTTGTCTATAGAGAAATAAGTGTATGCATACATTAGTATAGACAAAATACTTAAGACATTTGAGGAAGTTTACAATAATATGCTGTCATATAAGATCTCTAATAAAACTCGTCTTCGTTACGAGCTCTTGGAAGACTTTGGGTGGTAGACCTTTCATTATTGGATCCGGAAGCAAATCATGAGTGATAATCTAATTGACATAAAGGATGATTTCCTCTACTAAATAAATTGTACCTGGACGACCAATTCTCAAAATCATTGTTGTCATATAATGTTAATGAAAACTCACTTAAAAGGAAACGATACTTGGAAATCTCATCCATGTTATGGCATCAACGTTTGGGCCATATATCACGAGATCGAATGTTAAGACTCGTGAGGGATGGGGTATTACCAACTCTCGACTTCAATGATTTTAAGACAGGTGTGAAATGCCTTAAGGGCAAAATAGAAAAGGGAAATAAAAGAGGCGCCACAAGGAATTTTAATTTGTTAGAACTTATACACACAAATATTTGTGGACCTTTTCCCACCGAAATTTCTGGACATAAGCCGTTTATCACTTTATAGATGATCAATCACGTTATATGTATTTGTATTTAATTATGAGTTAACTCATTTGACATTTCTCCCTTTGGGTGTTGTAATTTATTTTAAAGGGATCAAATTGTGCAGGAAGAGAGGTCATTATAAAATGCAATAGAAAACCCTCACATATCTCCATGTCCATATACCTTTAAGTTTATGGGCCATGTCGGTCATCATCATGATGTGCTCACGCACACCACTCATGTACACCATCGTACTTTGTCATCAAGATTTTTAGAATCAAAGTACTCGCATGTGCCTTGGAAGTACCTTTAAATTGCTCTTCAACAAAGTCCATATATTCTTTAGCGTTTTCTAAGTCAGGTATGGCTCCGTGAATGGCAACTGAGATGGATTCTTTATGACCATGAGAGACATTCTATTTGATCGCTCCCACCGTTCATATACTCATTTTGCTCTTGTGAGCTTTGATTAGTGAGTGGAGCGGAAGGAATGTCTCAAGGCATAGCCTAAATCCACCATTCCAAGGGTTAATTTGGCAGCATCTCGCCACGATGCAAAATTAATTAGTGCCTGTCAGAGGTTCAATCTCATAGTTAGGACTTAAATTGGTCGTTGAATCAATGTCATTAGGACATATAAATTTAGACAAATAGAAGTGAACTAAACAGATAGGCTATTCACATAAAGTAAGCAAAACTCGTCATATTGAGGATTAAGTCTATCATAACACCAAAATAGACTAAATTAAGGTCTCACTTGAATGTTGGATTTCAGTTGGCTATGTCCAATACTCCAATGTTATGGACATTTTTTTTTATAAAATACGTCATACAAATATTATAAGTCACTTTTGGGCAAAATATAATACTCATATTAATCAGGCTAAAATACGCTATACGAATATTAATAAAATACGTCATACAAATATTATAAGTCACATTTGGGCAAAATATAATATTCATATCAATTATGCTAAAATAAGAATTTAATGATATGTGTCGCGTAACGACTGGCATTTGGGTTTGTCGCTTCGCTACACGTATTATAATACACAAATTAATGCCTTATTTAGACTTACATGTAATTTAAATAATTTCCGTTGGGATATGATGATTATTGAAACGATATAAGCATAAGGCCAAAGAAGTTTAATGGCATAAGGTTTGATTTTGACAATGAATTTCCGTAAGTTTCATTGTTGAAAGAATTTCAGCATGTAGATTATTAAAATACTGTCTAAATGTATACATACTCCCCATTATAAAGCAAGAAACAGAAAACAAATACGGATTAACCAATAAATGAAGAAGCATGATGATCACGTAATTGTATTTATCACTACTTCAAACCCAACTCTCTTGGAAAGTGAAACATACGTGGTCTATATTTATTTATTTTCTGTCAAAAATTGAATAATCCGTATATTATTGATAGCATGGGATGATGATTACTGATAAGGCCTCATCCTATGGTTAAAAAAACTGCCGACTTATTTCAGCGCTACTATCCGTCTCCTAAACTGACTTCAACACTCTCATCTCCTTCCTTTAATCATAATTAGAAACTCAGACGGAGGATCGGAGGGTTAGGACTTACGGAGACTCAGCCTTAGGACGAAAATTAATGATTCATCTCCAATTTTACAGATGAGTTTCAAGTCCAAATTGGTCATTAAGGGGGTGTCCTCGTTTAGGATTTTAAAAGATTTTAAATGATTGAGATTTTAGTGGAGTTGAATGGAATTCCGTAGAATCTATGGTATTGTACTGGAATTTCATGGAATGGAATTTAAAGTATTTTGGGTGATTTTTCCAACCCTCCTTACGAAACTGTAGCCCAAAGTCTCCAGAACCAAACGAAAGCAGTACATTCGGAAACCATACTCCCCTCTTACGGCCAGCCCACCTTGCTGGAGAAGGAGTTCAAAACATCAGCCGGAAAACCTGTTAAGCGTGCGCCTATCGCCGGAAAGAATCAGATCCGCAACACCAACAAAAATAGAAAACCTTCTTCCAGACCAAGTCCAAAGCCGGAAGGATAACACCGGGGAAACCCGCATACCACGAACAGTGAACACTGGAGAAGAAGCAAACGACCCAGACGGACAAAATCGACCAGGTGGTGGTGATGCAGACCTCATCCGTTCCTTCGTGTTTGCAAATCCATCGAAATCCGGGAGGTAATGGTCAGATTTTGGGATGTATTCTCCCCTTTGCATTCTGGCCTTAAAATCCATGGAAATCCAAGAGTTAAAAAATCCATGGACATTTTGAGGACACCCGGATTTTGACGGATTCCATCACAATCCAAGTTGAGGACAGCTGAATTCTAACAATCCATTAAAATCCTACGGAATCCTAATTTCGTTTCGTCATCATATTGGTAACGCAGAATCTTAACTCTAAATTGCTTTGAATTGATTAAGAGAAATGACTCTGATACCACATGTTGAATAATCTTAACGAATTAACGTTTCCGGTAATCTTCTCTAATCAAATCAAACACAATAAATTCAACAAGTATATGATGTAAGATTACTTACCTGATCGAAGGAAATCTTATCTTGTTTGAAGACGAAGCCATGATTCCTGTTATGATATCTAATTTAGTGATGGATTGATTAGTGTTTCCCATAGAGTTGATTTGGTGTTATTTATAGTGTTATGGGGACATAAGAGAATGGTCATGACTAAACAACGTGTCATTTGTTTATGAAAGAAGAGACACAAATGAACGGTCATGTCTTCTTATTAATTTATTTAATTAATAGACATCTAACGGGAAATCAATTATCCCCTTATAATAATTACAATTACTCTCATCAAGTAATGTTTAGGTAAGACGGAGACACATTATATCATATTGGCGTAATTACTATTAAAATAGTAGTAATTGAATAATAATTATAAATGGTCCTAAGGCCACATATAAAATGGAAAATATTCCAACAGCCTTATGATTGATCGCGCAAGGACGATTGATCGGTCGCAGTCACCCTCTTCAATGTATCACCCATCTCCCATCACCCCATTGATTCATTGACATTTGATTGACCTCTGGTGTCCATGTTATTGTGACGAAGACCAGAAATCGTCTCGCCGCTCAAGTCGCCAATCTCATCTGTCCTCAAATCTTTTTCTTTATCTTAAAAATGAAATAATTTATTTGAAAGTGCTTAGTTTTGGAGACTCAAATGAGCACAACCCCTAAAAAAATGAACATACACAAATGAATATTGAGCACATTAGAAATGAATTTTATGTTAAACTCAAATGAGTATAACGCCTAAAAGATTGAACATACACAAACGAGCTTTTAAATTTTTGGATACTCATTTTGTAAGTTATGTATGCTCATATTGTTATCGTTGTTATGCTTATTTTAAAAAGGTTATATCAATGCATATTTCAAAAGCATCTTATTGCATTAGATTCACAAGAGTGTTAATTATAGACATGGGGGCAAAAATTATGATACTCAATCACATGATTCCAATAAGATTTGATGCTCACTGAAAATGTCTTGATTCTCAATCAACAAAACATATGATTTTCATATCAATTCTCATTTTGTAAAGTTACATTTGCTCACCTGGTACTGATTTTATGTTCATTTTATAATGTCATACAATACATATTTCAAAACTACCATATTATATTAGATTCACACTAGTCCGATTTCGGGATATACCGGAATGGGACAAAGGGACCTGCATTCTTGCCCGCACCTAGAATAGAATGGATGCGTGGAAAATGATAGAAATTGAAGTATTTATAGAAATATTAGACCCCCACCCCCAAACCCCCAAATCCACTCCCAAACGGCTATATAGCCATTTATGACCCGTTCCGTTGGGACCCGTTCATAATGACTATGTGCCACCCACCCCCTAATCATTAAAAAAAAGATTCGACTCTTGCGATCACGAGATCGGGAAAGTCCTGACTTGAGACTATTTAAATAAACCCACTACAGTCCCGTACAACAGTAGACCTGATTCCGGACCACCGGACCAGGTCCATCCCTATCTACAACTCTTAGATGGCAAAGATTTAAGAAATTCTTCTTGTGGTTACGTGAAATAGTATCTCATCAATTAACTTTCCTACATTGTGCATGTTAAATGAAAATGAGTTTGGGTAGAAATATAACTATTAGAATGATATTAATACAAACAGAAAAGTTATACAATAATATATACAAATCAAAATAGAGTATATGTAATAACTAATAAGTATTTTATGTATATATGTGAACATATAACAAGCGAATATATATGATATGTATAATACTTCTGTTCTTTTTTAGTTGCAACTTGCAACAGTTCTATTTTAACACTTGCCAACACACAAATTTACCATTAATATATTTAATTCTATAATTGTAAAAATTTCAAAAAAAAATCACATTTAAAAATTTAAAGTGAGAAGAATTTAATTATACGGAATATTCTTTTAAAAAATAATTTTTAATGTATTCATAATTAGGGGTGGACTCAACCGGCCCGGCCCGCCACTGTGCGGGCCCGGCCCGGGTATATTAAAACCGGTTCGGACTTTGACCCGGTCTGGGGGAGTAGGGCGGTTCGGGTGCGGTTCAACAATTTGGCGGCCCGGCCCGGCCGGTTCGGGCCCGGTCCGGGCCTAACGGCTAGTTTTTTTATAAAAAAAATTTGTTTGGCCAGCCAAACAGGCCTTAGAGCCGTTGCATTTCAACCCAAACGGCTCTATAGCCGTTGGGAGCCTGGCAGGGGGTCCCGGGGTGGGTTGGGGTGGGGTGGGGGTGGGGGTACTAAAAATCTATAAATACTCCATTTTTTCTATACAACTTACTACACATCTTCTCCAAATATGCTAGAGCTTAATTCACTAGTTTAATTGTACTTCGAATTTAATATTTCTTATATTTTTAAGATGGAATATGCTAGAGCTTCTGTAGATATGGGTAACCTCCTCCGCAACCGAACAAAGGAGATTGCGAGGAATCATCCAATCTCACGCAAAGGTAAAGGACGGGCCGGGTCTTCATCTCAAACCCAAGATGATTTTGATGCGGATTATAACCAAAGATATGGGGATGCGATGTCCGATGAGCAATTACAACAACTATTGCAACAAAATCAAGGGGACTTTTTCCATCAACAACACATCCCGACCATTGACGAAGAAGAGCTTGAGGATGATGATGCGGAGGAGAGGGATCCGCAAACCGGCGAGCACGAGGTTCATGGCAGTGATGGCACACCGGACGATGATGAAGAGCAAGCGGAAGTGGCTACTTCTTCCCAAGGCGGTGAGAAAGCTGAATTTATCTTTAAGTTAAATTTTACAAAATTTAAAGACCCCGCAACCGAGATATGGTACGCCACTTGCAAGCATTGCCCAAAAAAGTATAACTTGGGAATTTCTGGAGGGTACGGGAGTGCCACAAGTCATCTTAAGGCCAAGCACCTGGCGGAATATGAGAAATCGGCCAAAGGCAAGGGAAAGCAAACACAAATTTCAAGGTTTGCAACTGGCCAACCCTTCGGTAATTTCTCCTATGATGATCAAAGACATTTGACTAGTATGTCTCATTTGATTGTTGAAGAAAATTTGCCTTTTATTTTTTCTGAAAGTCTTGCTTTAAAAGAATATGCTCAAGGTACTTTAAATCCTCAATTTCGAAACTATAGTCGCAAAACAATTAAAAAAGAAGTTATAAGGCAATATGTTTTGGAAAAGGAAAAATTACAAACATTTTTCGCAAACTTTGATGGACGTGTTAGTATATGTAGTGATATATGGGAGGATACTCATCATCATTTATATTATTTGTGTTTGACTGCACATTATATTGATGATGATTGGTGTATGCATAAACGTGTTCTTGCTTTTCGTGAATTTAATGATCGACACACCGGTGATAATATTTATATTCTCATTGAGCGTATTTTAATTGAGTATAATTTGATCGATAAGGTGTTTGCTATTGGTTTTGATAATGCTACTAATAATACTACGGCTATTCCTAGATTGCGTGAATTGTGTGGTTCATTTTCTTTGATGGGTAGGTTTTTTCATCAGCGTTGTGCATGTCATATTTTAAATTTATGTGTAAAGGACGGGCTAGCGGCGTTGGGAGATGCTATGGAGGTGGTGAAGGGGAGGATTAAACTTATTTGGGCTAGTAATCCACTTAAGATGCAATGGAGAAATTATTTGAAAGAAAGACATGTCAAATATTGTGCTTTTCCTAATGATTTGTCTATTCACTGGAATAGTACTTACAACTTAATTAAAGTGCTTATTAGATTTAAAAACCATTTTCCTGCTTTTTTAAAAGAATATGCTAACTATATTATAAATCCGGCCGACATCGACACTTGTGAAAAAATTGTGAATGTTTTGGTGTATTTTAATAATGCAACTGAAACTTTTAGTCATGTTTATAAACCTACCGCAAACCAATTTTTTGTTGAAGCTGTTAATCTCGCCGGCACTTTTTCTGAATTTTCTGATGCCGCTTACGTTAGTTATTTTTGTGACTTCATGAAACAAAAGTTTTTAAAATATTATTCCTATATTCCGCATATATATATATATATATATATATATATATATATATATATATATATATATAGTATTGCATTTATTCTTGATCCTCGTTTTAGACTTGCTTCTTTGGAGCAATGTTTAGATTACTATTATGCTTCTTTTTTGGTCCATTGCCTATGTACGACGACAAGGCCATAGACCCTAAACAACAATTCCAAGAGGTTAGTAATTTATTATATCAATTATTTAATTAGTTTCATGCACAATATGGTAACGCACCTCCTCCCCCGCCACGAACATCTTCTTCATCTAAAGGAAAATCAATTTTCAAATCTGCATTTGACAATCTTATGAAAAAAGTAAATCAACTCCGGTTAATGAACAAAGCTCGATCAACGAGCTTTCTTTGTATCTAACATTTCATGTTGAGTATGAAGAAGGAGATGACTTTGACGTTCTTAAGTGGTGGAAGGAAAAAGAGAGAACATTCCCGATCTTATCAAAGATGGCTAAGCAAGTGCTAGCAATGCCGGTATCAACAGTTGCTGTGGAACAAGAGTTTAGTGCGGCCGACAACGTCCTAACGGATTATAGAACGAGATTTATCGCAAACTCTCTTGAGACGCTTATTTGCTTTCACGATTGGTTGAAGGCCAAACGTAGAACTCAAGAAGTTAGCATTGAACACACCCGACACTTTATGGAAGAAACAACCGAAGATGACGGAAATCCCGATTGATTCTTATTTATTATAAAGTGTATTTCATGTTTTAATTTTTGCTCAATTTTCAATTGTACTACATATTTCAAATAAATATATTTTAACTTTTTTTGTCGAATTGTACTACATCTTAATTTAAACCAAAAAAAAAAATTAAATAGCCCGGGCCCGAACCGGCCCCCTACCCGGCCGGGTAGGCCCGACCCGGACCGGACCCGGTATCACCCCGGGCCGGTTCCGGGCCCATGTTTCTAAAAAAAAACCGCCCGGGCCCAGCCCGGAACCGGACCGGCCTGGGTCAACCCCTATTCATAATTGAAGTGTAGTCAAGTAGAGCACGTGAATAGTGTAAAATTATAATGTTGCAACTATTTAAAAACATAATAGCTCTTGTGAGAAAACAAGAGTTATTCATAGTAAACTCACCCCCACGGCCCACCCCACCTCATAGCCAACTATTCTAAAATTCTTATGAATAGCACTTGTGAGAAAACAAGAACTATTCATAGTGAACTCACCCCCACCCCACCTCATACCCAATGGTCATAAGAACTGTTGGAGGAGGCTCCCATGCCTCTCCAACCGACAAATGCAGCAGCGAATAGGAAAAAGGGAAAAAACGAACTAGCCGTTGGGACTGAACTGGGGGGAGATCCAAAATATCCCAACTCAAAATCAGTACCCGTGAAACACCCCCTTAGGTCATGATGATCCTGATTCGGAATTGGATTTTCCGGACCAGGTCCGGTCCCAAAAACCAGCTTGTCCCAGTCAGGATCGGTCCCAGGACCTTGCTCATCCCTACAGGCTACATTCATGGCTTAAACAAACAAATTATAAACAAAAAATCAGTTAAAGTTCACTCAAGTTTATGCTAAGCTCATAGAACACAAGAGGAAGACTGGGTGCATTGACGCAACGAACACAGACAACATGAAGCATTACAATAACGTCAACATTACTTGAAAAGGTTCGAATATAATAATTTTCCTTGCATTGCATAATCGCATCATTGCATGACCAATGTTCTTCCTCAATGGAATGTCTCAAGTTAACCATCCTTGAAGGTGATGTAAGTTAAAATAAAAATCCTCTTTCTAAAAACATACATAATCTGAGTACCAACCCATATCATTTGTGGCTCGGAAAAATATGGTGATGTGATTTGAAAAGGTCATCTCTACTCTCCTTTTCATGACATAGTTCGTTCCTCCCGTCAAATTTCCAAGAGTGCATAACTTTAAGCTATGAATAACCCATCTTGCAGAAAACTAGGTTAGCGATATCCCCTTCCCCTACCACGTGGACCCCATCCCAAACCTCGTCCCCTTCCACCACCACTTCTACCACTATATCCCAGACCGTCAAAAGCCCTGTTAACCAGATGGTGAGGATTGCCAGCTCCACGCCCCTTCTTTGAAGCCATACTCCCAGATCCATTTACAGCATCAACTGAACGCTTTGTTCTGTAGAGGAAATAGATTGAATATCTCACACAGGTAACTACAGAAAAGTTTTGCCAAACTAACTTTTAGAATGTACTTTCTGAACTAAAAAGATATATAACACAGCTTTTGAAAAATCAAAAGCACTTTCAGACATTCAAAAGCATCTTAGAGATCCCAAAGTGGAACCAACCGCCCAACCTCATACTGAATCCAAAAACAGTGACAGATCAGTCATTTCTTGTTTCTTGATGAACTTGAATGGCGAAAATACAAAAACAAAAGGTTAAATTGATATCCAGTCCCTCCATTACGTTGTTCTAGTAACAATATTCCTCATTGTTACCTTTTTGAAAAAAAATAATAAAACATAAAAAACCTGGTCATTATTGTTGGTGTCCGTCTTTCTCTATCTAATATTTTTAAAAACTCTGATCTGATATGTTGATTCATGTTAGCCAACCTCAAACTCTATTGGGAATAAGGCTCTTTTGGAATAGGCTTGGATGTTGTTGTATAAAAAACCTGGTCATATCCACTGGCAGCAGATTAAATCCCTCAGTTGTAGCAAATAGCAATATCCCTCTGCCCCATTGACCCGTTGTTAAGCGCCTGGCGCCCGGCAGGGAGAAGGACTAAAACCACCACAACAGAGTACAACCAAGGGTAGTTTTGAAGAATAAATTACCAAAGTCACATAAATGACGGACTATAAACTAGTAAAACACGAAAAGAATATATTGGATTCAAGAATGCACATCCCTTCTCCTGACTTGGAATGCATGACACGAAAAGAAAGTATAATGATCCAATTTGTACAGAGCTGATGTATTTTAGTAGGATTAATTACTATGAGAGCAGGCACAAGAAAAACTGGAATAAATGTTTGTATATGCTTAAACCATCTTAAGAGGGAGCATGAGAACTTTTGACATACCCAGCTGCATTAGCAGTTGATTGTGCAGAGGATTTTGGGATCTCCTTCCATGAAAGGTTAATCTTTTTGTCCCCAACAAACGTGGGAGACTTTGAATGTAGAGGCTGTCGTAAGACATAAAAAAACAAGTTAGAAACACATGAAAGTACTTACGGATCAAGCTATTTAGGTAAAATGAAAGTAATAATGTATTCAAGTCACCTGTGTCATAGCAAAGATGTTATTGCAGGTTCGTAATCCAGCTGTAGCATTCTGCTTTTGATTTTTCTGTGGACGAAAGGTTATTTCTCTGAAATTTAATGTACAGAAAATTGATAATAAGCAAATCTCTGAAAGCAGACTCACAATTTTAGCTTTTTCTTCATCAGTTTTTGCTGCAGCTATGTCTTTGTTGCGTTCAGCCAGCCCTTGAGTCAATTTCTTTATGGTTGCCCTGGCAAGTTCTTCAACACACTTTAACCTAAATTCATAGGAAAAGACGAGTGAGTTCCAACTTGGCAAACATGGTTAATGTTTATCCACCACCGGCCATAAAACAGCTACCCCAAACTTGAACTTCCAGTTTCACTCTAAATAGACATCAGATCATCTCCCTCAAAAGCAAACCTTTCTCTAATTGATTACAGGCAGTCCATAAATTGCACTTCATAGAGAAACTACCATAATAATTCATTAATTATGAACATCGAGATTTAACTTAAACTTCTTCCAAACATATCTTTGACTTCCAAATCTGTTCATTGATTTCATTCTAAAAAGAGAAGATTTTCATAATACCCAGGCCACCATTATATGGCCATTTCTTGAGCTTTACAGTGTTCATTTATCAGCACTTGCTCATAAGATTTTTCACATTCATCAATAATCAATACCCCGCAAATTCATAAAAGAAAATTTGCTGTATATAACTACCATCTCAATCCCAACATTTACCACACCACAATAGTAAATAAAAAAAGAAAAGAAAAAATGTTTAGAAAACAATTACCGCTCTGTGAAATCTTTGTAACACTCTGAGAAGTCTTCCCCAAGCCTGTCTGAAGGTTGTCCAGTAACTATTTTGTAACCACACAAGCTATTAGTGGCATTTGGAGCCTATCCAACCAAAGAGACAAAATAAGCATTTGGCACTTCAGAAAATTCACAACTGTCAATTAAACTTAAATACCTTGTGAGCTAAATTATTGAAAGTATAAAGCAGACATTCAACATATGTGAAATTCATCTCTTCTCCTGCTTTTCGTCGAGGCATGTATTTCTGCAGTGATACATTCCAAACTCCTCAAATCAGAATAATGAAGAAAATACATAGGCGGAAACTCCAAAGCACAAAACTTATACAAATAAAAGAGCTCAGAGGTAGGTATGAAAATGTAAAAGTGTATGAATAGTCACTTAATCAGAATAAACATAAACTTCTATAAAAAAGAAAGTAGTGCCATTAACATTCTACCGATTTGGTTCCAATCACTCACCTTCAAGAGCTGGACTACAGAGGGAAGGACAAGTCTTGAATCCTGGGGTGCTGTGTATGGTGAACTCTCTGCGAGGTTTTTGAGCAGGTCTACTTTTCGATCTTCAGGAAGCTGTCACAAAAAAAGGTAAGAAGAGAGTTTGGGAAACAAAGATTAAGAACATGTGAGAAAGAACATGTGAGAGCATATGTAGCTTTACACCCTCTCTTTAGCCTCATGAATATAACATCTTTCTTACATAAAATATCATTGTCTGATTGTCACCAAATAGTGAACTACCTTGTCAAAAACAGGGAAAATATGCTTGTTCAGATAATTGAGGAACTTGCTGTTCGATGCACCCCTCTGCATACATCAGGCAGGTTCGAAATAGTTACAATTTTGTCAATGGAAAAGACTAGTTAATATATATGTAAGCTAATCACACACCTCAAAAAATGGAATAGCCATATACAAGCATGATATCAACCGATCAATGTGGTCTCCATCTTCAACCTGCACATCAAAGCTACATAGATCATTTCTGTCATTCAGTTGACAATTCATAAAAAAGGGAGGATAGAAACTCCAGAGTCCAGAGAGGGCCAGGCCATTGGCTTCTTTAGAATATGCTTTTCTAAAAAGCCTCAGTTTGGAGCTGCTGAGAATAAACTCGCTCTCTCATCTTAATGAGCTTTTTTATGAAAACTTTCTAGCCCAAGCATTGCCTTTTAGTGAAGATACATTCAAATGTAAGCTGGATTGGATATTGCATAAATGTAACGTCTAAATGATGCAAGGGACATTTTAGCTAAGCAGCTGTGAGTTTCACGAATCCCAAGTAGGGTGATGTCATAAAATGATAAGCTCACACACCATTATACTAGGAACTAATCGTTTAAAGGTTCAAATGCAGAAAATACACTAGTAGGCATGTACTGAAAAAGGTCTAGTGGCAAGAGCAAAGATTCCAGCAAATTGAGAAGCATATAATGAAAATAACAAGACGCCAAAATTTTCAGCATAATTGTCACTCTGTTGTCTCACATTATTATTACTTGTTTCTATTTTCTTAAAGACTTAAACGATAACAACGCTTGCATTTGTATGCAGCTCTGTCACAAATTGATATTGGTGTTCAACTCCAGCCTGCCTTCTCACAAATTGATACAAGTGTTCAACTCCAGCCTACTTCTTAACATTTAAACCTGCCTTGTAGCAAACTTTCTCCTATTTCCATCCACTTTGATAAAAGATTCACATCTCCTAATCAATTAGATGACTTACATATTAAAAGAGACCATGTTCCCATATGCTACATATGATATCAGATAATTTCTTACATTGAACTGTGCATCAAGATCAGCTTGGCCTTCAATGATCTCTATAAGTTCTTGTATACGCTCCTTGGGTGCTTTCTCTCCAAAAATGCTCAAATTTTTCAGAAAATCCATAAACATCTTAAATTCCGCTCCAGTCACATCTTGCAAACTCTGTAAAGGAACTCAATTACAGTGTATTTCTGTTTAATAACAGCACCAAGCCACTGATGTAAGCTTAAGGTATATTTGGAGTTAGGTTTTGGAGGGGAGGGGGAGAAAGGTTTATGACCCTCAGTATTTTGTTTGGGAGTACAAAATGGAGGGGATGGTTTTGGAGTCTTCTTGAAACCTTCAAAAACCCTTGAAATGCTCAATTTCTTACCCCACCATAGGTGGGAGCCTTTGCGGCACTGGGGTGATGATGATGATGATGATGACGATTCGGGTTTTTGAAGGAGAGTTTTGCTAGGTGTACACATTTTGATGTACACTTTTTGTACATTCGTCTGTCTCACGCACACAGAGTGTCCACAGACAACTCTATACACCAAAATGTGTACACCAAGCATTTTTCTTTGAAGGATAACTAATTAAATACCAACTTTAGCCCAATTTAAAAGGTTTAAATACTCCGTATGTTTTAGTCGTGGCAGTCTGGCAGATATAGTTGGTTTACGTCCCTGCAAATTATTTTTTTGTTTTTCATACCTGAAATTTATGCTTATTTTCTTTTTACTCCCAAACATACCCTTAATGAATTTGTGTTATCATTCATTCACATGTTCTTCTAAATAAACTTCACTTGGCACAACATTACCTCCATTAAATAATGAATAACATATTTTAGTAAGCCGAAGCAAGTGTAAGCTTGAATATTAAACACAACTCAACTGCACAGGTACAAGATAACATTAGAAAAAAATTACCTTTTTTATTAAATCAGTAATATGTCTTTCCATTTGTTCTGGTGGCTTCAGGAGCTCTGTTTTAATAGGGAAAACCTGCCCGCAGTGTCACGTAGAATCACTTGCATAATTACATGCATGATGGAGATACACAAATGGACCTAAACTGAATCAGATATGTAGTTGTGTTATCACCTTGTCTCTAATAAATATTAATGTCCTCTCACGAAGATTTTCATCAGTCATCTGCTCATCGATACTCTCAATGTGCTTAAAGAGAGCCGTCAGTGACGCTGTGCAAGATTAGGTGAAAAACAAAAAGAGAAATTACATATTCACATTGTAAAATGATGATAGCACTGGGAAAAAAAATAACAAACAGATATTGAATAGCAAAAATATAATAGATACCAGTGTTGTCAATCCCAGATAGTGGAGCATAGCGGCCAAAAACGCTATAGCGGTATAGCGGGATGACCGCTATTTAGACAACATATATGCAAAATACATACTACTAAATTTATTACTCAAATGTCGTGAAATTTATACTTACTAAATTACCAAATACCAATAAAGGTAGCATTAGAGTCTTAAACAAAAGAAACAAATAATTGAAGTGCCTTACCTCTAGACATTAAAAATTATGTTCCACATAATTCTTGATAAATTTGCGTCATTAATATCTCATTATAACAAAATCATGATTGTTGGAATGCCTTGAACTACTTTAAATGGAGATGCATGGTATAGGTTATGTTTGATCTTGATTTCTGCTTTGAGATATTTAAGTATGGGTTTAGTAGGGCTATTTTGCCCCCCCACGTGTTTTGGAGGGTGTATTGAGGTTATTTTTTACTCGAAATACATCTAAAAGTAAAAAATACTCCCAAATCCCCTCAAAACTAGATCTGAAAGTAGCCCTGTAAACTATAGTGGCGCTATAGCGCCCGCTATTGCCAACCGCTACGCTATAGGCAGTCTCATAGCTCCGAGCCCCCGCTCTGCTATTCCGCTAGAGAGCCACTATAGCCTGTTATTGACATCACTGGTAGATACTAAGTGCCAAAGAGCAGGGATTTATGATCGATAAGGACACAAGCCCTTCTCTAGGATTCCTCTCTGATGCCCTGTCCCTGGTTGTTTTGGGGAACCAAGGGAATGCAGAAAGGAAATGAAAGAAATCCATTGCATATCAACTATCAAGGATACATAGCTAATCATAGAGAAATGAGTGTGAAAACATTAAGCATCCTTGAGAAATCTATCCCATTAATGAAGTGCAAAAGCATAAACAGTCTTTCAGAAATCTATCACAAATATCACATTGAACACATAAGTATGTTGATAAGAAATTACCCTAAATAAAAGTAAAAACAATGTCAAATTCCAAAATAGGTGCACGATTTTTATTCAATAGATATGAGTAATTACTGTCATGCTTAAATGCTTAAAAAATACTGCCAATTATGGCATTAATACTGCCATATTAAGCATGCTAATGTCAAAAAATGGCAGTAAAAAACTAGGATGACAGAAAGTTACTCCTGTTTAAGGAAAAACATATTAGTCCTGTTTTAGAATTTTACATTGTTTTTACTTCTATTTCAGAATTTTCCCAATACTGATTACTGGATTACCATTTATTTGCAAGTTGATCAAGAATATTTATGACTGCCACATGAGATTTCATCTTACTCAAACACAAAGCATCGTAAATTTGCCATAGAAGATGTACATCTATGAAGTAAACTTAATCTAACTTTACAAATAAATGGCGTGAATGCATATATTGCATAGCCATCCTGAAGAAACCTATCAAAGAAAAACATTACATGATTTTGGGTATATATATTGACTACAACTCCCTTGACACCATGTCTACATATAGTTAACTGAAACTTAATAGTTAAATGAGGTGAAAGACAAGTAACTGACGTGGATAAAACACTTTCATATATCAGTCGCAATAAACCCTTGAGATTGATTTGGTTAGGCTTCACTTGCTTTATGCAGGGCAAATACTTAATGCATGAGTTTTTCTATTTCTTTACAAGATATCATACATAACATTGCCTGTAACTTAAAAATTGATAGTACACTATGCAAGTTAGCAGTTATAGCACCATGGTTCCTTAACCGGAAGTCCGGAAGAAAATAAATTATGTTGAACAAATCAATAGCATTTTCAAAGGTGTTATAGTGGCAAAGCGCACTAGAAGATAATAACATATAAACTAATACTGCAATCTAACAGGTAAAGCACATTGAATTCTTATTTGAAAGAAATTAAACTATTTTCAAATTTATTCAAGTGGAAAAGCACAATGGAAGAAAATGGCATTGCTTTGCTTTGAAGAGCAAGCCAATATTTGATTATTCACAAGAACCGGCAAAAAGGTAAAGTGAAACTTTATTATGGAAATGACTTCAAATGCAAATATTAAGTACAAAATACCAATATGTGTTATATGATTCGCAACCCATACTGTGAAAAGCAGCATTACCTAGAATTTTATGAGCCAGTAAAAACATGAAATAGTACACTGTTTCTAAAACTATATTTTTTTAACCCGGAAGGTCAAACACCAAAATTCGTGGGGTAAATGCCTGGGAACATTTAACGAGTTTTATTGATTAAAAAAAGTACAAAAAGTAGGGGGACTAGACCAAAACCCCTCCAGAAGAGGCATACCTCCTCAAAGAACAACAAACAACTAGGGAAAAAAGAACATCATTGGGGGACTAGACCTGACCCAATGACAACAAAAATACAATGAAAAAAGACACATTAATTTCAAAGCGATCACATTCCAAGACAAACTGGTGATGCATAGTTTTAGTTGCTTGACTGCTTCATTTATTTAAGTGGTGAGGCAATCACTTTAAGCTGATTATCTTATATTCCATATCAACTATTTCAAGTTTTTGTAATATAAGTATACAACACGATAAATGACCACACGATTAGATCGATGCTGCAACCTTATAAGATCATAACAACATGATTTAACATCCAGATAATGAGATCTATAAAATTACCTTTCACATCCTGCCTCAACAAGGATAAAAGGGCTTTGTGTACTGCATCGCGTTCTACATTTTCTTCTGTGAGGAAAAAAAATACTAGGAGATGAAAATCCAAAAACTTACTGAAAGAATACCAAAACTAAATAGTAGAGGTAAATTACCAGCAGTAAGAAGCTGAGCGAGTATGTCAACTATTTTGGAGAGGTTTTCCGGTGTATCCTTGCAGAAAAGAGGAAGCCCACGAATGGCTTGCACTCGAATCTAAGAGTAGTAGATGTACCAAATGATTCAAATAAAAATAAGAAAGAAACATCTAGGTGAAGTGCAGTCCTTTGAGGCTCACCAAATTCAGGTGATCAGTTCTGGAACCAAGTGAACTATCTCACTCCTCTAATGTAGTGACTAGTATACCTCTACTAAACCAAACCACTAATGGGAAATCACAAACAATAGAATAAGTTGCATGAAATTGATGAAAGTTAATATAAGGGCGGTGAAGGATGCAACATTCATTTTTATCACGACACTTAAAGATACATCAATGTAACAGTCCCTTCAAACTGTTTCAATTTTACGCAGTCAGATCTGGTATGAGAAGGTCTAGCAGCATACAAGTGCTGGGGATGCAACATCCCTTCTTGCCAAAGAGGTTGGCTTAATCGTCTGAATCCTTATGAAACATGACTTAATGAGTTAAAGGTAAAGGATGGGGTATCTACTTGACTACATGCCAGCATTCACTGTATTTCTTTTTTACCTAAGAAGATGATGAGACCCAACCATATGTCACACTCTAATACTCCAATAGAGGGTCCAAAGTATATTAAACAATCAAGAGGAACGTAATGGCCTACTTGTCAGCAAAATTCCAACTTGTTAATGGGTGTTCACTAAAATGTCCAAACAAGTAGAAATGGGAGAGGACGAACTGACCCCAAGCTCTTCGGCTTCACATAAATCGAGGTGGGCATCTACCGCAGTGATAGACAAACTAGGGAAGTACTTGAAGAACCTCGGGATGAGCTGTGCAGCTAATTGCCTCGCTTTGACGGTGCTACTTTTAGCTGTAGTAAGTATATTTTCATAGTCCCCGGTATGCTATTGCAAGAAACAGGAACCGAATTAGCGCAGTTTCAGTACATGCAGACAAGCCAAGTGAAACCCTAGGAGGATGGATTGATACGCAACGCTGCGAATTACGAGTAATTACGGACCTGGGACTTGTCTTTGGCCTCGTTGAGGCGTTCGCCATACTCGTAGAGCTTCTCGATGTCGTTGGCCTCGTCAGATGCCTCTGCCATTTTTGCTCGTTCAAGCAGACTTGTGACTACACGCCCTTGTAATGGGAGATGCAGGCTATGAGGGCCAGATTGGTAATTTGGGTGAAGAATTCGGAAGCCAAAACAAAAAGAGATTCAAGTCCCTTTATCTAACAGGAAAGGAGCTCCGTTAATCCGTCAAATTTTCCGTTAATCGTATGGTCTGATCTGGTCTGGTCTAAACTGGTCTGGTTTCTTTGTATTTTTATAACTATTCAAGACTGGTCTGGGACAGATTACAGTCAAAGTAAAAACATCCTTAAACTCTTCCTTTTATTACTCCCTCCGTTCTCTAATAGATGGGAGTATCGCCTTTGGCACAAGTTTTAAAAATGAATTAATAGAGGTAAGATAAAATGTGTAGTGAGTTGTGTTTAAGTGAAAAAGTAAGAAAAAGAATGAAAAAGTATGAAAGAAAATGAGGGTATAAAGGTATATTTATTGATAAAATTTTCTAAAAATGGAAAGGGAGACAACTATTAGAGAACATCCCAAAATGAAAAGAGGGACACATATTAGAGAATGGAGGGAATATTATACATCAAATTTTTGCCAATATTTATTTACAATAATTTTGATTTTAAATACTTCCCCCGTCTCTAAATGATTGTAACATTTTCCTTTTTTAGTAATTCCAAATTAATTGTAACACTTTAATTTTTGGCAAACAAAATAAATACACTGTCTATAATGCTCCAATGATTTCATACCCACCTTTTCTAATTTTTCTCTCCCACCACCGATCTCCCATTTTTTCTCTTTCTCAAAATTTCTTGCCATCCACCCCTTGAGCTATTTTCCTTCGTATACACTGTTTCTTTCTAATCTAATATGGCCACACCTTGTTTACTCCTTCAGCCATACCAAATAAATTAGTTTTCATTTTTGTTAGCTTTTCACACGAAATGGAGATTTGGAGAGATCTGGATTTAAACGAGGGGCTAAGCATCCCATGAATCGTGTTCAACGGCTTCTCCTTCGTCAGCTCGACTAAGATCATGGAGTCCAAGGTTCTGGGGAGGGTGTAGTCAGAGATGTTCACCATCGCTGGACTTCCTGCACCGTACGATGACAAGATTAAGTTTTGCAAAGCTCAGGTGAAGGGGTGTGTGGTGGATCCGAAAGAAATCAAAAGCGAGGCCCAAAAAAGAGGTGGCAGAAAAGCTGCTCCGGACGGTGATTTCGCGTCACGGCGTGATCGTGAGCAACTTCTGTGAGATGGAGCCGGAATTTGTGAATCCTGTGCCGAAACCTCATGTTGCATCTATTATGAGACGGAGGATGGTATAATAGAAGGATTATTTAAACAATCACAAGGCACCTTACCGTCCTGCACTTGCACAATTTGTGTGGTACACTGTGAACTTCTATGCATACAACATCACAACTCATATACGTCGTAGCATTTTACACGAAATATTCATGAACTAGGATCAACTTATTCTTGGAGTAAGACTCTAAGGATAAACTATTCTCGGGCCCCTACCCCCCAAAAAACTTGTTTTTTGGTCTAACACCGGGTTAAAAAAAGGATACACTTATTTATGAAGTATGTGTTTCGTACTTTTTAATGTGAACTGAATTACAAATATTTGGATCAAACTTGAGTGGTCCAGAAATGAAATCACAAGCGGAACTCAAGCTCATTAATATCCAATCCGGTACATTTACCTCACTACTAATGTCAAACACTATTAGACAATACAGTGCTCCCTTCTTCAGCATTACCCAAACAAGTTACTCTAATAACTAAAACTCGAGTTCACATTAATTTTGAAATAAGCTCCAGGTAATACACCCCCAGCCTGCAAGGTATTTCAGACATTTCCGCGATGAAAAACTGTGAATACACAGAAAGATCCAATGCTCTTGAAGCCCAAACTCAACTTAAGATATTGGGGAGGTTAACACTTGCTTCAACTACAAAATTGGCATTCCCAATGCACGCAAAACATCCTCAAACACAAACTTCCTTGTTTCTTTGTTAAAGGTCTCAACAAGTTTGTACCTCGTATCGTTCATATAAAAGGAGTGTGCTATCTCCAAGAGCCATTTGGCTTCGGAGTCACTGAGTTTGCTGGTGAAGACGACATCCCCCCGGACAAGCACTAGATCCTTGCTTTCTGCGAATTCTGTGTAGTAAGAAATGGTGAAGTATGGAGATGCTTGTGTTCCTCTAGCCTTGTAGTCTTCAAGGCCAGTTATGAGGATGTGTGGTGCCTGTACTGCACAACCATTAAACATGAGGAGTTAACAAGAATAATGACAACTAAAAATAATCTCACTTTAGAAATCTCAAATCAATAGTGAAACTATTTCAGTGTATACGCAAAAGAGTAGAACCATATTTTCAGGAAAGAAACCTGGAAGTGCTGACATGACCGGTGTAGCTGAATTTCAAAGTTAGGTTTGTTTTTCGTCTATGGCCAATAACTCACGGTATTATATTTAGTCCATAAACAACAATTGGATTGTTTGTGTGAGCACATCAGCTTAATTTCTTATCGAAAAACATGCTCATATGGTTTTCTGTACACATTCAAATTATTTGGCCATCAATTTATATTTTCATAGATTGGGATTTTATTAGTTTAGGCTAAAGGGTCAGATGAGTACATGAACTAACTTAAAGTGTTCAATTAGCCCCTTATATAGGAAGATCTGCCCGACCGTTGCCAATTGGGGCGGTTCCCGGTTGAATTTTTTTATGAAAATTTTTGAGCATCTTCTTCATTAAGTCTAGTTTACCCATATCAAATTTCAGATACAAATTAAATCGGGAAGGCAGTCAAATGATTTTCCAAAATGTACTGCGTTGTTTAACTGCGCAGTTATACTCAAAAAATCATTTGATTGCCTTCCCGGTTAAATTTTTAGCTGAAATTTGGTATGGATAAACTAGACTTAATGAAGAAGATGTTCAAAAAAATTCGTCAAAAAATTACACCGGGAACCGCCCCAATTGACAACGACCGGGCAGAACCTCCTATATAAGGGGCTAATTGAACACTTTAAGTTAGTTCATGTACCTATTTGACCCTTTAGCGTAGTTTATTATTATAGCAAAAAGACGGTATTATTTAAAGTCATTTTCCTTTTTTCTTAAAGAGTAGTGTCAAATGTCATGTAAGGTAAAGACAACAAGACAAGATGCATCAAGATTCCCTCTTGATTTTACTCTAATACAGTCTCAGATCACCTCGCATACTGGGTCTCTTTTAGGTGTTTGGGAATTGTATTTTGGAGCTGTTTGAAACATTGGATGGGAATTGATTGGAGAAGTTATTTGTTATTTAAAAAAAAAGGATTTATCTATGGTTTGTGATAAACCATCCACTTACTTCCCCTCTAAGCCTCTACAAAGCCTTAGATTCGGTCACCAATTACTCCCTGTCGACTGCTTCTGGTAAAAAAAATCAATAATTTCACCAAGTTAATATGGTACAAGAAATTGTTGTTTCGGAAGAAATTACTCCCTAGACTGTAGTACATATTGGCTTGAATCCTTTATCCTCAATAAACTAAAAAGGGGAGAAGAAAACCGCTAAAGGCGACATGGAAAGCCACAGATTAGAAACCAATGACTAATCTTGCAACTGCAAATACCCAATACAATCAAAGTTCTGATAAAGAAATGACTGATCATAGAACATGTACTAATCCTAAGCATAAGAGACAGAAAACTAGAAAACAAAAAGTCCTTGCATAAAAATTACACTCAAGACATCTTTACTTTGCTGCTAAAGTCACAGTTAGGTTAGTAAGTTAGGTTAGTAAGACAGGTGAAGTAAACACACAGACTAACTAATAAGCTGCTTACTACCTGAAACAAGTGCTTAAAGTGCTGCTTACTAAGCATACCACTCCCATGTATTAATTAAGTATCACTTTAAGCTTTTTCAGTTTCCAAATTTACCCTCACTTACCTTGCCCTTACCCCTTTACTATTATCCCTACCCTACTCCTACCCCCTAACACTACCTCTACCCACCACCCCTACCCCGCCCCTACCCTACCAAACCCCAATCACCCCACCCCAACTCCCAACCCTACTTGTACCCCTAACCCCTACCTATACGCGGACCCTTACCCCTACACTTACCCCGAGCTAGTGCCTATACTCCTACCCGTACCCACACCCTACCGTACCCTACCTCATAATCGTACCCTTACCCCTACCCCCTACCCTGACCCCTTACTCGTGGCCCGTACCCCTACCCCCACTCGTAAACCCTGATAGAACACAGTACCAGAAAACAGTAACAACACACTCCACCTCAAAATTGATGGATTTATTGTTAAGATTCAATATCAACATCTGGGAACAGAGAAAAATAAAATAAGAAGATTGCAGAATATATATGAGATCTTTCGAGAGGATCTCGCTCTCCCAGTTCTGAACTGAGTCCAAGATAGCCGCCCCCTTCCCTCTTCCGTTTGTATTTATTCATCGCTTCTCTCTCTTGCGACTATTCTTCTCAAGACAGTCCATTATTTTCTGTTGTCTCTTCTTTTTTCCTGGTCTTTTACCTTCTTGCACCTTTTATAAACTTTAGAAAAATCCCTATTGGGATTTATTTTGAATAAAGCAGTGCTCGTATCATCACCCCCCTTTAAAAAACACATTGTCCTCAAGGTATAGCTTAAGAAATTGTTTATTGATCAGCTCCCAATCTTCCCAGGAGTCTTCAAACTCAGGGAGGTTCTGCCAGTGAATGAACACCTCCCGGTTTCCTGTAGCTGAAACTCTGGCATCTGTTATTTTCTCTGGTTGAGGTTGCAACTCTCATTCTTCTGAAATACAAGAAGGCAATGATTGAAAAGGAATATTGGGTCTAAGTGTCTTTTCTTCAGAAGGGAGATATGAAACACCGGATGAACTGCACAACCTTCAGGTAACTTCAAGTTATAAGCTACCGGATTAATCACTTCAATCATTTCAAAAGGACCATAAAAGAGAGGACTCAACTTCTGATTCATTCGTCTAGCCAAACTCTTTAACTTATAGGGCTGTATTTTTAAGAATACCCTATGTGCTACTTCAAATTGGAGTTCTCGTCTATGCTTGTTGGCTTGTTGTTTCATCTGGTTTTGAGCAACCTGTAGATTATGTTTCAAAACCTGCAAAATCCCATTTCGTTCCGCTGCTAATTTAGACACCTCATCCACTGTAATCAAACTTGCATCTCCTTTAACTAAGATAGGTGGATCCTACCCGTATAGAGCACCTTAAAAGGAGTGTTCTTTATGGACGCGTGGTAATTGGTGTCGTACCAATACTCAGCCCATGCTAACCACTTCGGCCACTGTTTTGGTTTATTCCCGATTACACATCACAAATAGCTTTCAAGACACCAATTCACCACCTCAGTCTGTTCATCTGTTTGTGGGTGATAGGAGTACTGTATTTCAGTTTTGTCCTTGCCAACTTGAATAATTCAGACCAAAATGTAATTAAGAAAATATTGTCCCTATCCGAGACAATGGTCTTAGGAAACCCATGGAGCTGGACCACCTCTTTGATGAAAATTTCAGCCACTTCTTTGGCCGTATAAGGGTGAGATAAGGCAATGAAATGTGCAAACTGTTAAGATTTAATTAATGCAATACGAAGAACAATAAAAAGAACACACGAAATTTGGTAACCCAGTTCGCCACAAAGGACTGCGTCTGGGGGCGCTACCAAGCAAAGAATTGCTACTAATTTCGGATAAATTGATTACAAGGGAGAGAGCTTGTATTTATAGAGAGTAAAACCTAACCCCAAAGCAACTAGGACGTGCGGCACACAGTACGGCCCAAAACTGTATGAAAACTCGCGGCTCTTCAGAAACGGACCCAAAAAAATTTGCTATACAGTCTCTAACACCTTAAACAAACTTGATTAGTCAATCAACCACCACTAGTATGGAGTCCTTACCCATGGCTCGAGGAAGCCCTCCGATGGAATCAATGATAGTGTCCACCCAAATTTGGCTCGGTATAGGAAGTGGTTGAAGCAGCCCTGCTAGACTCGAGTTCTGGTATTTATTTCGCTGACATATATCACAGCTTCTCACATATTCTTGGATATTTGTCCTCATACCTTCCCGAAATACCACATTAGATATTCTTTTTAAGATCCAAAGATGACCCAAATGTCCCCCACAAGCTGAGTCATGAAACTCTTTTGAGATAAGGGATATTCTAGGTGATCCTTTCGGTATTACCAATCTGCCCTTGAAGTATAGCAGTCCTTTTCTCAAGCTGAGCCCGACATGTAAATCTGGCTGACCCTGGATAAGTTTCTGGCACCGAACATCCTTCAACAATTCCTCTTCTAAGTTCTAACTCTTCCCGCTCTTGGGAAATCACCACTGATAATGAGTTTAAGCAACCCTTTCTGGATAAAGCATCAACCCTTACTTATATTTAATTATAAAATTATATACCATCAATTTAGAAAGCCAATTCTATTGGTCTTCCCCTAGTAACCTTTCTTCGGTGAGGAACTTCAAACTTTTTTTGATCAGTATGCACTTTTTTTATCAGTATGCACTTCGATAACAAATGTCTTGTCAAAATCCCGGGTAGCCAAACTGGAAAGGATGTCATGGCTACTTTTAATTTTTCAAATGCTGCTACCGCTTCAGGACTCCATTGAAACCCATCCTTCTTAATCATATTTGTTAGAGGAGTAGCAATTTTGTTGTATCCTTTAACAAATCGTCTATAATATCCCGTTAACCCCAGAAAGCCTCTCAGTTCTTTTAATTTTTTGGTAGTGGCCAACCTTGAATCTTGCTAGGATCTGCCTTCACCCCTTGCCCAAATATACTATGCCCCAGGTACACCAATTGAGTCTGCCCAAACCTGCATTTTTTTTGTTAACCACCAACTGATTTTCTCCCAAAGTCTGAAGAATCAGTCGTAGGTGCGTTTTATGTTCCTCTGGACTCCTACTGTAAATCAGAATGTCATCGAAAAATAGCAGCACAAACTTCCTTAAATAAGCTTTCATAACTTGATTCATTAGAGACTGAAAAGTAGATGGAGCATTCGTTAAACCAAAAGGCATTACTAGGTATTCATAATGCCCCTCGTGAATTCTAAAAGCTGTTTTGTGAATGTCAGCCTCTTTCATGCGGATCTCATGATAACCGGACTTAAGATCCAATTTTGGAAGATCTGGGCATGTCCCAGCTCATCTAAAAGCTCCTCAATGACCCATACTGGGAACTTATCAAGAATGGTGATCTTGTTCAAAGCCGGTATTCTCCACGGCATCTCCATCCTCCCTCCTTCTTTGCCATGATTATTGGACTGCTATAGGGGCTGGTACTTGGTCTGATAATTCCCGTCTTTAGCACCCTCTTTTACATTGATGGCGTAATCACAAGCACTGTTTGGTGGTAAACCTTGAGGAGCCTAGAAAACTGTAGGAAACTCTCAGATTATGTCTTCCCATTCCTGCCCAACTTCTTTCCTTCAGAAGCTAACTCTTCACAATGAATGAAGTAACCCTCTCCCTTGTCCTTCAGGGCTTTCATTAAGCTTTTCCAGGAGGCTGCTGCCCATCAACTCCCCACTGAATAGTTAATTGTTTGAAATCAGCTTCTACTTTTCCGAAACTAGCTAGCCACTCCATTCCCAATATCATATCGGTTTCTCCTTGGTCCAAGATATAAAAATCATGTTCAATCCATAAGCCTTGAATTCTAACTGGAAGCTTCTCACACTTCCCTTGAGTGTAGATATTTTCTCCATTGCCCATTTCAACTTTGAACTTAGAAGTCTGACTGAAAGGAAATTTCAAAGTCGCAAAGACCCTAATAGAAATAAAATTGTGTGTTGCACATGAGTCAATAAGTACGATTGCAGGTTTTCCCTTCAATAGCCCTTTAACCTTGAAAGTGCCACGAACCGGAATGCCTTCCTTGCTCAATGTCTTCCTTGCTCAGAATTGTCAACTGCATAGTTTTCAATTCTTCTGCTCCCCCTCTTCATCCACTGATCTTGACTCCCCCTCTTCTTCAGATGCCTCTTGAGTTTCCAATAACACCATTTGGTAATTCTTCATTGAACATCGGTGTTCTTTATTCCACTTATCCCCACATTTAAAACAGAAACCTCTTCTAGTTCGATCTTGTAGCTCAGCTTCAGTGAGTTTTGGCCCTCCCTTCCAAAAGCGTAGGGAGACCACTGGAATTTTCATTTTGAACTTCTGAATTATCCTTCACCCGAAGAGGAATCTTTGGGGTCATAAATTTCCCTGGAATTCCTCCTGCGTCATACTGTCCCTTGGATGGGTTCACTCCCTTATTAATCCATCCTCTTCAATCTACTTCCTTGTTCTGTCCCCCTTTTAAAGTCAAGTTATTCTGTTCAACTAGCAAGGCCTTGTCCATAAGCTCCGTTAACCCACTGGTTTGGCATAATTTCAGTTCCACGCTAATATCCTCTCGGAGACCATTGACAAATACTCCTTTTAACATCTCTTGGTCAGCAAGTTTGAGAGGAGCGAAAACCATCTCAAAGAGGTCCTTGTACTCCATTACCGATGTTGTTTGCTTAATACTGAGCATAGGGCCAAAAGGGTTTTGTACCAAGGCCAGATGGAAACGCCTCTTTGAAGTTAACCCAAGAATGGTCATCTGTATGTTCCTCCCACCATTGATACCAGTTCAAAGCTTTATCATCCATGGCAATCAAGACTACCTCCACCTTGTCATTCTCCGACACTTGATAACGACCCGGATCAGCCATCCATGAGCATCGTCACCGCTAAATAGTGGTAAATCCAGCTTCCTACCTGTGTAAACACATACATCGTTCCTCGTATTATGAGGAGTCCGTGAAACGGAACAAGATTCATGTGGCTCACCTCTAGAGCGGGATGCATTCACACTACCCGACGGCTGGCGTTTGCGCGGAGTCGTAGAACGTCCTCGAGTTCTCCTGCGACTGCCTTGAGCTTCGAGACTTCGCATCATCTCTAATAGTGTATGCATCCGTTCGTCCATCATTGATAGCATCTTTGTGCGCATATCTGCCATGGACCGCTCAAAAGATTTCTCCAGATTATATATCCTGTGCTCCATGTTTGATCGAGTGCAGACCATACACATGTGCAGTGATCGGGCTCTGATACCAATGATAGAACACAGTACCAGAAGACATTCCACCTCAAAATTGATGGATTTATTGATAAGATTCAATATCAATGTCGGGGAACAAAGAAAAATAAAAGAAGACGATTGCGGAATAAAAATGAGATCTTTCGAGAGGATCTCGCTCTCCCAGTTCTAAATCGACTCCCAGATAGCCGCCCCCTTCCCTCTTCCAATTGTTTTTATTCATTGCTTCTCTCCCTTGCGACTATTCTTCTCAAGACAGTCCGCTATTTTCTGCTGTCTCTTCCCTTCCCCGGTCTTTTACCTTCTTGCCCCTTCTTTTAAAATTTTTAGAAAAAATCCCTATTGGGATTTATTTTGAATAAAGCAATGCTCGTATCAAACCCCTACCCTAACCTACCCGAGGGTCGAGCTAGGGGTAGGGATAGGGGTAAGGGGTACAGGTCAAGTAGGGGGTAGGGTGAGGGGTAAGGAGTAGGAGCTAGGGGCAGTCGGGTATGCGTGCAGGGTGGTAGGGGGTAGGCCCCCACGTATTGTACTTGTGTACATGAATGTTTGTGTGTCTATATATGTATAGGGTTATTTTGGACATTTTAATGTGAAACGGTGTTTTAAATTCAGTGAAGTAAACTGAGCTTATAACATTGCTTATTTTATGAGCCGCTTATTAACCCGTGAAGTGAACGTGCTCACAATAGTTCCACTAAAGATAATGATGAAAACGGCTTCTCATTGATAGGAAAATTTTACTCATAAACTAACCCCTGCAATTGATAATATGGCTCATGCCCATGTCATGTTGGATGATGCATTTAAGTAAGATGTTTTTGTTGGGTAAGCTTAGTGGGTATACTCCTGCAATTTGCTGCTAAAGAACAGACGAGTCGAAGGACACAAGAGTCATGGGCCATCAAACATACATGATATGATTGATGGGGATAGTCCTCATATAGGAGTAAAAACGCTACAAAATTCCAAAATAGAATTGTCATGTTTTTATTCCCTAAATAGGAGTAATTACCGTTAAGCTTAGAAAATATTGTCATGTTTAAAGTCTAGTACTGCCAAAACATGTCAGTAATTACTCCTATTTAGGGAATAAAAACATGATAGTCCTATTTTAGAATGCACAAACGTTTTTACTCCTATATCGGGCAATTTCTCTATGATTGAATCTTTACATCTTTAAAGAAACACATGTTACTGATAGACATTGGATATATTGATTGTTATTTAAGAGATTGGCAATGTTACTGATAACATTGGATGTTCACTTCACGGGTTCACACTTCTAACGATGTTTTAACCATACATAAAATAAAAATGTCGAGATTGGCAAATGGCAGACTCAAAGAATCTTAAATAAATGAAAATGCTTATTTAGCAACTTATACCTTACTCAAACATCACTATTACTTTAAGAGTCAAATTGAATAATAAACAAGATATGTTCCATAGTTCTGACCTTGTACGAACATTGTCGAGTAGCCATTCCCTCTCCACAGTGGGATCACAAAATACCGGCTGCAAATGATATATGCTCACAAACGAGAGAAAAAACGTAATAAGTTTATATTGAGTACAGATGGCATTGGGGTGTTGGGGTTGGTTATGCATATAGCCGAACCCACCCCACTAGGTAATTTTCCCAACCTATATCCGCCCGTTACCCAACAGGTAATTTTTATCCAACCATAGCAGCACAATAGGTAACGAGTATAACCGGGAATCACCATTCACTTAAAGTGTCATTGATTTTTAATATAAAAGTCAATGTTTTAAAAGACGGAAAATTACATCACCTAGGCAATTCTAAACGTGAGACGCCACTTAAAAGCCTCATGCACTTATAAAAAGAAGAACGTGACCCAAATTATTTTAATCTTAAACATACTTAAAGTCTAAAAATTTACTAAACAAGACAAACCCATTAATAACCAAATGGGACCCTTAAACTCTATTATTGGACCCAAAGAGGTGAGTTCTCAAAGGAGATCCTTGTTTATATACATTGTAGCAAGGACATCAGTGGCATAGCCAAAAACAAATAATTGAAAGGAATGAAATAAAAAATAAAACTAAAAACATTCAGGGCGAGTAATGGGCGGATAATGGTGCGGGCATGTAAAAAACATACATTAAGCGTATATGATCAATATTAAGCGGAGTTCAGTGTGTATATCTATAGGATCAGTCACAGTTATCATCCCTTATTGAGCACAAAGAGAAGGATACATTACCAATTTTGAGATCTTTGCTCCAAAAGATGGTATAAACTTGCTTTCATTGATGCACCAATATGACCTCTTCCCAAGTGGTACTGGTATAGCATAACACAGTTGATAAAGGGACACAAAGAGATTATTGGTGTATATAAAACGTCTTAAAAATACAACAGTGGATAGCTTTCTTCATCAAAACGCAGTAATAATTGCTTAGAGGTGTAACAATAAAGACAAGCCATCAAAGAGCACAACCAAAACATCATTGGTTGATCACAAACTACAGCATTACACAGAAAGTAGGAAACTTACATCACTCCATATATCAGAAAGTTCCTCAGCAGATTTGGTCTTTGCCCTCTCGACGTCCATAATTGAGTCAAGTGGCTTCGGATGCAATGGATTGAACCCAGTGGCGAATCTTGATGTTCTACAGAAACCAAGCGAACTCCATTTCAAAAATTCTCCAGGAATGGCCTTTTTCTGCAAGATATAGGAATTTTCTCGGAGAATTGAAATAGAACGACACTGTTTTGCCGCCGTGGATTTAGAAGAAGAAGCATAAGCACAAAAGTAAGGTGCAGATGAACGGGATAGCCTCGCAATCCTTACTAACCGCTGCATTACGAATCCTGAAGACATGATGGAATTATCAGAAACCAGAAGTCTAATAATTGACATTTGATTGTTCCTGCTCTCCCACGACACTTCCGGCCCGTTTGGATCAAGCGTTGAGGAGCAGCCCATTCATAATTGGGAAATTAACTAAAAAAGTTTGAAAATTCCAAAATAGGACTGTCATGTTTTTATAAATCCGTTCAAATTTGAGGAGCAGTGATATCAGAAGCTCTTTTCGGTTTTCAAATTTTATAGATCCTGTTTTCGGTCCGGTTAAAAACCGAATTGTTCCGGTTTGAATCGGATTTAAACCGATTTTTGCTATATTTTTAATATATTAATTGAGTATTAATATAAAATAGTTATAGAATAACAAAAAATAGGGGGATTTACTTAAATAGGAGTAAATAAATCCATAATTGCAAAAATAGGAGCAAAGTTTAAAAATTTCCAAAATATGAGATATTATTTGAAATTGGACAAAAATACCCTGAAGCTTGCAAAATCACAGCACTGTCAAAATGCCGGATGGCCGCCAATTGCCGGACGCTGCCGCCGCTGCCCCGCCGCCCCGCCGCCCCGCCGCCCCGCCTCCGCCGCTGGCTGCCGCCACCGCTGCAGAATTGGCCGCCGTTGCAGAGTTGACCACCGGCGTTGCAGATCTAGTCATAGCTGCCACAGACATGACCACCACCGACGTAAATCTTGCCAAATCTGGCGGACGCCGTTCGCCGGTATCCACTCCTGCGGATCCGCCGTTGCTGCTGGAAATCCGACCTCCACGGTTGCAGATCCGGCTTCCACCGCTGCAGATCTGGCCACGGTCGAAGCTGATGCCAAAATCTTTACGAGATTGCCAACGTGATTGGAAAATGTCATCTTGATGGCATTTTCAAAGAAAAATATGAAATTCAGAAGAGAAAAAATGCCATTGCTATGGCATTTTCAGAGTATAACTTGACATTTTTTTCACGAACAAAGAACATCATGAACAACATCTCATTTTTGGCAACTAGAACCTGAAATGAAGAGGGGGAGGCAGATCCAGAGAAGAAGATGCAGATGCATGAACAACAAGATACTTTACTCCAACCACCAAATCCGAGTTCAATACTTGCTGAAACTTCCTTGATGGCCATCACCGCTACTCGCCGCACCAGGAAGCTCGTCTCTGCAAGGCGGAGATGGTGACCGGAGAAGAAAGGATGGCCGCCACACCTAGAAGATCGTGAGGAGGTCGGAATAGATGGTGAACAGGATGGAGAAGGCGTGAAAAAAGAAGATGATTAGCCGATGGCTATTGTGCGTGCGTGGAGAAAATAGAATGAACGAAGAAGGGGGTGTGCGAAGAAGAAGATGATACCCGATGGCTGTTGTGCGTGAGTGAACAAAACAGAAGAAGGGTAATTTTGAAAAAAAGGTCCTATTTAGGGAATAAAATACACTTACTCCTGTTTTGGAATTTGAACAGCAATTTAGTCCTATTTAAGACAAAATTCCCCAAAAAATAGTAATAAAAATATAAATAGTAGTTGTTTTAATGTTTTATTGTACTATATATTGTCGATTTGTCATAATGCTTTATTCATCTATTTAGGTGTTTTTATTTAAATATTACTAATTTTGAATCAATTACCCAAAAATTGACCACTTTTAAAAATGGGCAAAAAAGTGATCAAGAAGGTCATATATGTGGAATTAGAAAACATGATGTCACTGCAAAAATTTTGTCACTGTGTTCGCTTTTTTTGTAACTACAACCATCACCCATGTCACTACAACCACCGCCCGTGTCACTGTAGTCACCGCTCGTGTCACTGTAGCCACCGCCTGTGTCACTATGATCGTTTCGTTTAGTGATGCTGTTAGATTTTATGTCACTGACTCTATGTCACTTTTGAATATCACTGTCAGTTTTTATGTCACTGTGATTTTTTGGTTTCACTAAAAATTTGTCACTAAAGAGTTTATATGTCACTTATTTTTTCGTATCATTAAAAACTTGTCCCTATAGAGGTGAAGTATGTCACTTTAATCGTCAGATATTTTCCGAGTCTCCGACGACTTTTTCCGGCAAAATTATGACCACCAACCCCACCGGCTGACACCGCCGTCCCACCGTCATTGTCTCTCTCTGAAGATTGTCAACCTCAACCCCACGCTCCAACAACCCCCAACCCCACTTCCCTAACTTGTTTCGTCAAATTCCCGACCAGCCCATGCCCTAGCCGCATAGCCCCACCCTAGCAAGCTCCGTGGCAGTCCTCGACCATCCATGACCGCCGCTACTTGCCCCTAGCCCCACGGCCCTAGCTCTAGCCACTCACCACCGCAGATCTGGAGATGACGACAATTGAAAATCACTCGTTTGACCTCGCCTTCCATGTTGCCATCGATCAATCAGTTAGAAAATAGAAGCAAAGGAGAGGTAGATGGCGATGCAAGTGAACGATGTTGGTGAACGGCGAGATCCACGGCGGCGAAGGGACAGCGCGACTGTTTTTTCAGCGGCGGCGACTTTCAGGCAACCTGTCACCTCCGCTGCATCTTTGTCCTTTGTTGTTGGAAGCTTAATTGGAGGGAAGATGAACAGGGTGGGAGATGGAGAGATTCGGGCGAACAGTTTTGGAGAAGAGGGAATTGGGCGGAAAGTTTTGGAGAAGGAGAGATTTGGGCGGCCGAACAAGTTACGGAATTTTGGGACTTTTCAAACTCACATTTTTGTCTTTGGCTAAACTAGTCACATTTTTTCCAATGAAACTCTACAAGTAATATTAAGGCCATTATTTCATCTATTTATTCTTATTTTTTTATAAAAGTATTAACTAATATCTACTTTTCTACACTCCAATTTAGGGCTGGGCACGGGCCGGGTCGGGGCGGGTAATGCAAAATAAAATGGAACCGCCGGTTCCATTGTACGGTTCGGTCCGGTCCGGGTATTACAATTTTCAAAATAGGAACCGGAAATTACCCGGCCCGTTTGAAACGGGTCGGTCCGGTCCGGGTTTTACGGTTTCTATTCTCATGTCTTGAAATTAGTAAAAACTCACGAAGTTCCAAAAATCAATAATCAATAATATAGGACATTAGCAAGTTTCAAAATAACAACATAGTGGTGCACATACAACACAAGCGAAAAGTCCAATACTTCATAATTTATTGTATATAAGTTTCAAACAATTAAAGATATTTCAAAAATATGCAACATAGCCAAAATACATATTTTCTAATATTTGTATTTAAACATGTTGTCTAACATCACATATTAAAGTGATTGCTTTTTTTTATATTAAATTTTCAGTACTAGCCAAAGTTGACACATACATGGTGGGTGGTAAACACAATTTATATATTTTAATAACAATATAATAAAAAATATATAACAAAATCATCTTTAACAAATAATTAAATTCCACTGAAAGGAATAATTCAATAACAACAAAAAGTAATAAGATATTTATGAAACATTTAATCAATAATTTGAAAACAAAAGGATGTTACTGCAACTCAATTTAAAATCCTACTTCTAACAAAGGAAACAAAACTATTTCAAAACCGATTATCACAAAACTACTAATAAATTAATATACAATAGATATAACGGGCCGGGCCGGGTACCCGTTATTTTTTAATTTTGGAACCGGTCCGGTTCCTTAAAAAAAATTACCCGACCCTACCCGGACCGTTTTATGGCAACAAAAAATGGAACCGGCCCGTTTTGGACCCGAACCGCCATTACCCGGACCGGACCGCGGTTCCAAGACCCGTTTGCCCACCCCTACTCCAATTGCTTCAATCTTTGCGCTCTAAGACTAATAAAAGTAATTAAATAAATAATAATAGTAATAGTAATATTACTAGTCACAAATACCCTTATTTTTATTAAACAAATAAGTTGTAATTGCTAGTAAATTTAGTTAATAATTTAGAAACCGGTTTTCCGGTCCGGTTTTGGTTTTGAACCGGTTAAACCGGTTCGTTTCCGGTTCAAACCCGGTATATATCCGGTCTGTTTTTCGGTTTCTATTTTCTTGCAAATCCGGTTTGGTCCGGTTTTGGACCGGTGCACACCCCTATTAGTATTTTGAGGTCTTGGACAATTATTAATCTTCTCATTTACCCTAAATACATAATTGAGTGTTTTGGAATCCTTAGAAGTGCTTTCACCCAAACACTCCATCCAAACATGCCCTTAGGAGTGTTTCTATCTGCTTCTTAAAACTGTTTTATCAAGGAGCACAAACAAATATTTGAGTGTTTGGGTGAAAGCACTTCTAAGGATTCCAAAATACTTTAGAAGCAATTTTTTAGAAGTCAAGAGATGGACCAACTTCTTAAAACTGATTCTGATTCTACTTTTGCTTCGGAAAAAAGGTAGAAACAGAATCAATTTCAAACACTCCTTACTGCATCCCAAATACATTGTCTTTGGGCATGGGGATTTAACTTTTTGGAACAATGATACATGAGCAGGTGGTGAATGTATTAAGATGTTTTTAATTGGAATGAAACTTTCTGATCCGGTTTAATATGATTTAATTTGATCTAGTGTGGTTTGATTTGGTCTGAACTAGACTCATAAATGTTTGGTTTCTATGTATTTTATAAGACAATCTTTAATGCTACAATGTGCACGATGCGGGGCACATGTGACATTAGAGAGATAGACACAAAAGATTAAATTTATGACATTTCACTCTTTTTCTTTTCATAATCTTATGTGTTTTTAGTAAGTTTTTCTCAATAATGTCATTCACAATGTCTACATCTAGACATTGTTCTTGACATTGTATAGAAAACTTACCAAAAACATATAAGACCGTTCAAATAAGGAGAGAGAGATTTTATTTTTTGTTTTCTAATTGGCTATCTCTCATGCAACGTATGCACAGTTCACATGTTTGCCATCAAAGTAGGTTGCATATTTTGATGCAATGTAAAGGTATTTTTACTGCAAAATAGTCGAATCCAATGGCTGAGATTCATTCTCACTTCTCACCTAAAGGGCACTTCTCACTTGAACCTTACCTTACACACACACACACATACAGAGAAAGAGAGAGTCTTGTTCCTATCAGGAGCTCCTGAAGAGAAGCTCTGTGCGGACAAGACCATCAGAGGGTCTTCCTGATGGAATTTTTTGATGAAATATTT